TGTCGCAACACATACGGACACTCATGCTTCGTTTGCTGAGAAAGCCTTGCGAGCTGGAAAACATGGTATGTCCTAACCCGGAGCCCAGACTCTCCGCATCATGATGTTGAATCTGACTGCCGCTCACAGCAATTGCCGACAAGCCATTTGCGAGATCGTCCGAGGAAGCAGACCATGTCATCGAGCTTGCAGAGAGCAAGGGACTGATTCTCTCCTGTTTCCAAAACCGGAGATGGGTAAGTGCCTTCTCATTCATGATTGTTTCGCCCCTATTATGTCTCTGCGCAGGTGCTTAGAAAAAATCAGGATGGCGATTTCCAGACGTTGAGAAAACTCATCAAAGAGGATGCGTTGGGCGATATCAAAGAGGCAGAAATTCACTATGACTTCGAGTCGCCTCCTTGGCTCTCTGGAATGACGAAAAAGGAGTACACTCCTGGAGATGGCATGGCCTTTGGTCTGGGTATGCATTTCTTGGAACTTTCGCTCAACTTTGATCACCCTTGTCTAACTGCAACTTTGCATCCTCTTAGGAACACACAGTATTGACCAGGCTGTCACGCTGTTCGGTCGTCCCAAGTCCGTAACAGGCTTCTTCAGAGCTCAAAGAGGCATTGAGAGCGAGGTTGAGGACTCTTTTACAATTATCCTGCAATACGAAGGGCCTCAGAAAGACCTCCTTGTCACTGTGAAGACATCAGTCACCACGCCCATGTCGCAACAGTTGAAGCACTTCATTCGAGGCACCAAGGGCTCTTGGCTCAAGGTAAGTCTGCTTCTGGAGTTGCAACAAGGTCTACAAGAAGAGTTTGATTGACTAATCGGCTCTCCCAGTTCCAACAAAGAAGCACATGCCCTCAAGAAGAGCAAATTGCAGAGGGTCGCAAGCCATTGGAGCCTGGCTTCGGCGAAGAGCCTGCGGAGGTTTACGGCACTTTGACGACATACAGGGAATTCAGCAAGGAGCAAAAGTTCAATGAGGCGACGAAAAAGTATGTTGGGCGAGTCCCAACTATCACGGGGCGGTGGCTGGGCATTTATGAGAACCTCGCAGATGCCATCAACGGTAAAGCCGAATTGGAGGTCAAGGCGAGGCAGTCTCGAGATGCGATCAGGATTATCGAACTCGCAAGGGAGTCTCACAACTCTGGAGCGACTATTGCATGGAAGTAAAGCTATTACTCAATAGCTCAATTTCTGGGCGTAGTAATCATAGATACAGAATTATTGTATTGACGACACTCGGGTAAATGAACCCTTTTGACATGGGGGACACTTCATCGAACCATCATGTTATTGTCTTCAAGTCGTGGCTTTACAATATGAGAATGGATTCGATGTTAGGACTTGAAATCGTCAAGCATGAGAAACCCTCACGTGCAGCAATTAACGACGTGAAATTTGACAAATGATCGGTCGTCTTGACTCCGGGGACCGGCTTCCGAGCTTCTCCGCGGAGGCTCACGGTGTCCCACACCAGGTTGTATAATGGGGGCAGACACCAATCGCAGAGTTAAACAAGGATTCCAGACGGCAGAATTCGACTCCGGAGAGCCCGCTTAAGGTCTTGGGCCATCACGTAACTGAAGCCCTGGTTGGCCAAAGTAGGAAATCATAAGCACTCTGTATTGCCTCTTTTACGGATCCGGGGTACTTAATACGCGTATACCCCGCGTTTGGCGGGGTGCACCATCTGTACTCGATTGTCATGTAATGTAACCCTGAGCTGCTTGCAGGCATAATATCCACGGGGGGATTGTATTTGGAAAGCGAGGTAGAGGTTTACTGGCTGGCTACTCGATCGGTCAGGTCGAACCACTTGATTTATGTAAAAGAGATCGTATGTGGGCAGCAATCACCTCTAAACGCAGTCATGATAGTGTTCGATCTGATGCTTGATCGGCTCAAGTTGCCTATAAAGCAGCTCTACTGTTGACGACCCGATTTCTTAGCCCTAAAAGAGTATTGGTATCCCTTGCAGTGGGGAACCTTATACACTCCAAGGTTATATGTAACCTTACTTGCCTCGAGGACACAGACTTGCTCAACGCGAAGACCTTAGATCGAAACAAGCACTCAATTACCAGCAGTCTGTTGCAAGACTCAGACCTAAACTTGTTCTCGCATCCGGCTAGTCTCTTCGTCATGACGCCCACATGGAATCAGCCATTCTGGCTGGCTTACTTCCTCTTCTCGATCTTTGCGTCTCTGGTCTTTGCCAGCAAACAATGCGAGTCCTCTCGATACGAACACAAGCACCGTGTTTTTGTCCTCACCGACATGAGCAATGAACCAGACGACCAGATGAGCCTCGTCCGTTTCCTTACCTACGCAAACGAGTTAGACGTCCAAGGCATTGCAGCGATAACTTCGACCTGGCTGCGAAACCGTACGGATGCCGATACCATCCAGGAGGTCATCCGAGGGTATGGCGAGGTGGTCGATAACCTCAACAGCAATGTACCTGCCGACGCTACGTATCCCTCGGCCGAGGATCTTTTGGGCAAGGTGTCCAGTGGCCACGCGGTTTATGGTCTTGCGTCCCTCAAGCAGAACAACTTGAGCAGCGCAGCTGTAGCACTAGTCCAAGCCGCCGACGAATCGAGCGACACTGATCCGCTATGGGTGTCAGTCTGGGGCGGAGCAGCTGTTCTGGCTGAAGCCCTCCAACACGTTTCGTCAACGCGCGAGGCTGATGCTGTCGGCAAATTCGTTGACACTCTCCGAGTCTACTCAATCTCAGACCAAGATGATGCCGGGCCTTGGATTCGCGATCGGTTCCCCAAATTGTTCTACATTGTCTCTCTTCACGGCTGGAACGAATACACGCAACCGACTTGGATCGGCATTTCGGGAGAAGAGTATCGCCACTTTGATAAAGGTGGTCCGAACACGGAAATTGTCTCCAACGATTGGCTGCAGAAGCACATCCGCATCGGACCTCTAGGTTCGCACTACCTCAACTGGACCTTCATCATGGAGGGCGACACCCCTGCCTTTTTGTCTCTCGTCCAAAATGGACTCGGAGATATTGACAATCCTCAGTGGGGTGGTTGGGGCGGCCGATACTCGTTGCTAGACACATCTACAGCAGATGGGGGCCGCAGGTTGTACAGCGATACTGCGGATTATGTCCGTGGCGCGAATGGGGAGGCGTTCTCAAGCAAATACGCGACCATTTGGCGATGGAGAGAGGATTTTCAGCACGATTTTGCTTCCCGGATGCAGTGGACTGTCAACGGGGAATTTGGCGAAAACAACCACCAGCCGGTCGCTGTTGTCAATGGCTCTTGTGGGCCGTCAAGTTTCCAAGTTGAGTACCAGTTTGGTGAAAGCCTGGTCTTTGATGCGGCCGAGAGCTGGGACCCAGACTCCGATGCCCTGTCTTTTGAATGGTTCCATTATCGCGAAGCGACTGGTAGGGACTTGGAAGGGTTCACTATTCCCTTGGTCAGTCAGAACATGGATATCGCAAACTTGACTGCCGATGGCAGCGTCGTGAGGGTTGAGCCACTCAAGAATCAGGCAAGTCTTTATCTGTATTATGGCATTTCAAAGTCTTTGATAACAAATGAAATTTGAGTTCAATTCTGACCTTGAATGGATAGACGATGCATCTCATACTCTATGTTCGGGACAATAGAGATATCCCTCTCGTGACCTACAGAAGGATCATTCTGCAGCCCTCTTCGTAGACCACCCTCTGGTTAGACGAGAGATGGCCTATGCAACTCCAATTACTCGGTCACGTCATCTGAGTGTAGCTTCACTCTTCGAGGATACAATCATGTAACATGGCAGCTGAAACAAATAGCAAGACAATACCTGGGCTTTTAAGACCAAGTATGATATGTGTGCCGTGGCTTTGGAACCAGCTTAACTTTGCCTTCGTCTTCACGGATCAGTACTCAGTGATTGTGCTAGCTATGTTGCTCCTGACTCAGTAGCCAAGCGCTGGAATTACTTGGCCGTGCTAATTGTTGGGTCGGTGGTCATGGAGTAGGAAGCTAAGCTGAAGGGTCCCCCACTAAATCGTCTTTGATGGTTTCGGATGTTTCTGAAAGATCTTGCGAAATACACCCTTCTGCAGACGCACATGAATGTCATACCACCTACCACACATACCACCCCGAGATTATAGCTGGTCGCCTGATTACTGAAAGCTGCTAGTATGCTAGCAGATACCTCTATCTTAGTTGTGCCAATGTCAATAGGTGTGTGACACAAGGAAGAAGCTCACAGAGGCCAACCGCTGTTAGGGTCTAAAAGATGAATTACTGAAATCTGCCCTTCCCTCGAGGTGTACTACCAGCGCTCTATATATGCCTGAGCTGCTCCTTTGTTGCTTGGTCCCCCTCCTTATGCCCCTGAGCTATCCCTTAACCGACGAGGCCTGACCGGCGAGGCCTGACAGCCAACCAGGGAAATGAGTAAGTCATAGAATTTTCCCGTTGTGCCCTTCATAAGTACCTAGTACATGTAGCATATTTGGCAGTCTGCAAACGAGCTAGAAAGTTATCGAATACAGATACCATCATCCCATAGACGCTTTTGATATATGGTGAAAAACTAGATAACACGGCGGATAAAGAGGACATTTTCAAAAACCTGACGAAGGAGGTTTGGTCAAGTTGAGTTGGCAGCCTTCATGTTCCTAATTGAGTCTCTCAGTTGGAAGATTTGTGCCTCGTTTACTGAAATCTGTGAAACACAAAACCAAATGTGACATGACAAGCATTCGACTGGTATCCTCCTCGGTGGAACTTCTGACTTATACGTTTCACGCCTCGACGAGTGATGAACACCCGAGTGCAAACGCAAATCTAGATGAATCTTGGGCAGAGGTCAACGATCATATCAAACTTGATTAGTTCCAGAGCTGGATCAACGAATACTTTCAAAGCTATACAATTATCTCAACTTTCCTCTGTCTGAAACAAGTGAGGCCTCACTCCTTCACAAGTTATGTTTGTGGGCTTGCGATCGAGGTGGTTCCTACATCATGCAGCTTGGGCCATGGCAAGAACTCCTGCCCAAGTCTCCTTCACAGTAGCCGAGATCTGACTTGCCGGAAGTGAAAAGCCGTAGGTTCCTCTGTCTCTAAGCTCAATGGTGTACGTGTACTTGGACTTGGCAACGCCGTGAACGTAGTCGGTACTATCGCCTGTGGTCGCGTACAGAGCACGGCAAGCATTGCCAATAGTGTAGCTGGTGCCGGAAACGCCACGGATAGCGGTCGCACCGCGCTGGGCCATGCTTTGTAGCGCAGCGTCATCGGGAGCGACGTAGTTGCAATCATATCCATAAGCTATGTATAACCATTTGAGTTCAAACTGTACTCTCACATGATCAATCCAGAGGATGGACTTACGCCAAAGGATGTACTGTCCGTAGGAGTGGACATCGAGGTAGAGGGTGATACCCCTGCTGGCAGACAAAGAGTCGATCTGCGCCTTAAGGCCCTTGATTTCTGGGGTATCGGCGGCGGCAGCCCCCTTGTAAGTCTCGGCGCAGGGGCTTGTCGAAGCACCTCCGGTCAGCTCCCACTTATACGGCCAGTTACGGTTGGGGTCGCGGCCGACGCAGGAACTGCCGGTGTTGGTCTGGCGATTTTTGCGCCAGAGACGGTCAGTGGACTGAGTGTAAACAAAGCCTGGAAGAATGGTAAGAATGAGTTTGCTCTTCGTTTACAGGCGAGGTTCTGCAGGGGCGCGCACCATCTGGGTTCACCACAGGAGTGATGTACCAGTCAAACTTATCAACCACGGCCTTGATGGCAGAGTCTGTTGCGTACTTTGTCAAAAGTTGCCAAGCCACATACTCTGTAGTCTGACATGATGTGTTGATTAGAATTACTCAGATTGCAGTGAATACTTGTGGATGTTGTGTTTATTACTCACCATCGTGCTAATCCACTCGCGAGCGTGAACGGTGCCGTGGAGAACAACAGCCGGCTTGGACCCTTTGCCGCCGCTTCCCCAGATATGAATGCCGGTGAGCGCTCGGCCTTGGAAAGATGAGCCCGCGGTAGTGATTTCAGATTGGCCGGGAAAGCTGCTCTGGAGGTCTCTCAAGAAAGTCAAGTGGTCGGCATAGCTGTGATAAGAAGTGAACCAGGTTTCGCTGGGGACTGATTGATCGATGAGTATGAGGTGAGATCAGTTTGTGGTAATGATCCATAGACTCACCAGCATAAACCGTTGCCATATCTTCATCCGCAAAAGCAGCACCGACGTCCTCGAGGAGAATCGTGGTGTTTACAGCCAGCTGGCTGATGGCGTCGACATTGTCGGGAGATACGACGACATCGAACTGTTCCTTGGCGCCGGGGTTCAAGATCGTTGCAGCTAACTCGTTAATCTGGTCGGCCAAGTTCTCGGAGCCCTCGGGGAGAGTAATGCGAAGACCCTTGAAGCCAGTATAGTCGACCTTCGCAGATCTGGGAACAGTCGCGCCCAGAGCCACAGGAACCAGGGCAACAGCTGAGATGAGCGACGCCTTCATGGCGAAATAATGTGCAAATAGTGATGAGGCAATGAGATGCTTGGCGTCGACGAATCGAATCTTGGCGAAGCATGCGAAGCTGAAAGCCTCAGTTATAAGTTCGAGAAGCAAGAACCATGAGCGGCTCGTGAAGGTCGCTTAAACACCTGCAGCTTCCCCTCTTCTAGCAGACTAGAATATGCCTTCCAAAACAATGGCATGGCAACATCAAAAGGGGAGGTGATAGTCTGACTGGGGAAGGACGTATTGAACTGGTGTGACATCGACAGCTGCCAAGGCGGAAGATCTCAAGGCTTGGCACAGCGCCTTCCCGGATGAAGAAGTTGCAAAGCGTCTTGGTATGGGAAACCACGCGCGATTAGGGAGGCACGGTTAAGTATCGTAGTTGCGATTGCCGCCGAGATGAGTTGAACGGGAGTTAACATAAGCAAGAAGGTGGCACCATGGTAAGTCAAACCACCCACTTTTAGCCCACCCCCCCTTTTGGCCCACCCCAATTTCCTTCCTAGCTACTGATTAAAAACCCTACTTACGATTTTTAATTTAATATAATAATTATAAAAATCGTCTAAATATATTTCTTTTTTATATACTTATTAATCCCCCCGACGGAGTAATCCGCCGGGGCTATACTATATATTACGTATTAAGGAAAACTAAGTATATTACGCTCTATACCTAATTACTAATTAAAATAGTAATTAACTAACTTAATTATTATCTTCCTTTTATTAACTCCTAACCTTCCCCCGCATAATTCTAACTATTTAAAGAGCGAGCTATACTTATTTTAACGTATATAAAACCTCTTAATACTAGCTTATATAAATAGCTAAATTTTATATTATATACTCCTTCTTATTAAAGGTTAGAGGGCCCCTTATATATTTTTTTTATATTTATAATATAGCTTATATTAAAATTCTTTTTAATTTTATAAAGTATAATTTCTAAGTTAATATTAATATATTAAATCTTAACGTCCGTACTAGCCCGGCTATTTATAGCGTTCGTATTATTACCTAGCTAAATTCCGTACTATTAAAAAGTATTTTACTAATTCTTAAGTATATTTATATTAGTTATAATAACTATAGCGTTAAGCTAGCTAAAGAGGGCGCCTAGCCCGAGAGGGGTAAACTTATTAACGAGTATTTTTAAAGAGTTTTAGTTTACTAATTACTAACTATATACTAAGAATAAAGTAGTAATTTATATATTAAGGGCGATGATATTCTGCCAGCACCTGCCGATATCCCGCCCCCAAGTGTGGCTGCGACCGCCCCTGCCTCCGAGCCCGGAGGCCAGCTGCCCATACCCACCCACTTACCTACCCACTTACCTACCTACCTACCTACCTACCTACCTACCTACCTACCTACCTACCTACCCACCTACAACCACCACTTCGTCGACCTCGCCGTCGCTGCCGCTGCCGCTGCCGCCAATTGAAGCTATTCCCAACGTCAATATGCCGTAAGAAGAGAATAATCGCGAAGTTGACGATCCCTTCGTCTATTAGCATGCCGTCGATTACGACGAATACGGTCACGTGGAGTACGACTACCCACTTTACGGCCAGCGCTTCTCTACCCTGCCCGAGGCCAGAGCAGCATTTGACGAGACCTACGAGACGGCGGTCGCGATCGAAAGCAGCAACGCCTCGCAGAGTTAACCCACCCGAATAAGCGTCGCAAATCCTCGACCTCGTTTACAGACTGCCGCTGGCAGGCCGCTGCCAGCTTTTCGAGCGAGTCAATTGGGCAGCTGGGCAGCTGCCCAGCTGCCCAATTAGGCCAATTAGGCCAATTAGGCCAATTCGACGGAATCGTCGACTTGGGCCAATACGTCGACTTGGGCCAATACGTCGACTTGGGCCAATACGTCGACTTGGGCCAATACGTCGACTTGGGCTAACGCGTCGATTACCGTACTTTTTACCAAAATAATTCAAGTCAATTGACGGCCTCTGATTGGCCCAACCCACTCGAATGCTGACTACGCAGAGCCCAGCTTACGTGTGTGCCCGAGGCCGGCGGTCGTGTGGCGGCCGCAGCCACACTTGGTGGCAGAATAGCGGCAGCTGGTGGCAGAATATCATCGCCCTATATTAATAGGTTTATTTAGTAGATTTATTTAGTAAATTTATTTAGTTTAAATAGAGAGCAGTTTTAAGTAATATTAAAAGCGATAAAAATAAAAAGAATCTTTACGAGCTTTAGTACGAATAATAAATATTAACTTATTTAGCTCTTTCTCTAAAAACCTCTATATTATTATTAAAGTTTAGAACTTCTATAGTTAAAAAAGGCCGCTTTTAACTATTACGGCCGACTATTATAGCTAATTATTATAACTAACCTCTATTATTAACCTTTCTAACTAGTACTACTATAAAATAGCTTACTTATCCTAAATTATATAATAGTTTTTATATCGAAATTATTATATTATATTAAGTGCGTACTTAGGGCATATTATATATATTATATAGTTAAAAAGTATATTATATTATATAATTTCTTTTAAAAACGTAATCCCGTTAAGGTCGATCTTTTGCGCCTGTAAAGCCGGAAAAAAACCACCACATACTTATTAATTTATAGCTAATAGTATTATATACTAAAAATAAGGTTTAATAGGCTTTTAATATTATTAAAAACGGTCTCTTTTTTAAGAGAGCCTTAATTATATTCGGGGTTTTTAAGTTAATACTTCGGAATTATAAAAAAAGTTACTAAACGAGGGTAATAATATTTATAAACCTCTAGAGGCTTTTTTTATAATAAAAAAACTAGCTAGCTTAATAAGTTTAAATTTAATATACCCTAAGTATTATACTAACTTATTAATAAGTTAAAAAATTTACTAAATAAGTTTTAATATTTTAAAAAGATACTAAACTACTTAGAAAGAGATAGATTAATACTTTTTTTAAAAAGAATTTATTAATAAGGGTTAAGAGAAGTCGTTTAATAAATTCGTAATATATTAATAGAGTTATTATTAATATAATTAAATTATAGTTTAGATTATTTAATATACTAAAGATTAGCGTTATTAAATAGGCTAATAAATGTAATATAAATAAGACTAGTATAATAAAGAATAAGAGAGCTAATAGGCTAGTTTTAAGTATAATAAAAGCTATAATAATATAAAAAAAGAGCCTAGTTCGCATACTTAAATAACGATTATTAAATATATTTTTATTAATAGTAAACTTATTAAACTACTAATTATTTATAAAGAAAAACGGTATAATAATAGTAGTTTCTATTTTAACTTAACTTTTATAATAGTTAGAAGTTTATAATAATAAATAATAGTTAAATAATTAACGAGATTACCCTTTATTAGTTAAAAAAAGTGTTCTTATTATAAACTAAGACCCCCCTTATTAAGGGGCTTAGTAAGCTAAACTAGCTTTAATTATTAATACTAAATAGCTATAAAAGTTATATAACGATAGAATTTATATAAGAGTATTATAAAAATAACGTTTACTTATTATTTTTATTATTATATACTTCTTAAATCTTCTAGTTATTAAATATAGCTATTTTTAATTTTATTAAATCCTATTATAAAAAGGAGCTTAGTAAAGAGGATGTAGTAAATAATTCTATTATTATTAAAAAGTAGTATTTTTTAAGTTATTATTAGCTTACTTATTTAGCTAGTTTAACGTTATTAAATATATAAAGTAAATAAAAAGTAACTAAACTATAGTATTATAACTTAATATATATAACTAAGACCAGGGCCCGCCCTATAAGCTTATAATAATTATAATATACTATATATATAGGAATATAAGAATATAAAGTAACTTTTATAAAATAGAAGAACTATAGGATAAGTTACGTAATAATAAAAAATAAAAAGATCCGTATACTAAGAATACGGACCCTATTTTTTTAAAATACGGAGCCTATATAATTAAAATACGGGGCCCGTTAAATAAATATATAAATAAAAAATATATTTAAGAACGAGACTTATATATAGTATAAACTTAAACTAGGCTTAAGGATAGACTTTTTATAGCTTTTTTAATAATTAATTTAATATTAAATCTTATAATCGCTTTTAACTATTTTTATTAAGAACCCTTTTTAATAAGTTTATAATTAATTACTAAAGCTTTACTTATTTTATAACTTATAAATATAACTTTAGGGAAGCTATTTATAACTATAATACTATTTACTTAGTATTTATAGCCTTAATTTTTATTAATATACTTATTATAACTAGCTAGTTATAATACTTTAATTACTCTTATTTAATAAGTTTACTTTTTAAAAAACTAACTAAATAGTACGAATATATTAATTATTAATAATAATAATATAGCATAGTTTATTAAAGTAATTATACCTACTATTTAATAATTATATAATATAATATTTAAATTTAAAAATAAAAACGAATAACTTTATACTTAGCTTATAGCGCCCCAACCTCTTTTAATATTTAGAACTAAGTACTCTAAATTAGAACCCTATAATAAGTCCCCGGATACTTTTTAAAAATTTTTTACCTAAACTAGGGCTTATTTATACTATTACGGGACCTCTTTTATTATTAAAATAAATAAGGTCTATTATATAACTTTATTTTTTAAAAAGAATACCCTTACTTAGTTCGAACTTTTTATAAAAAACTATTTTAAAAACGAACGTAATATCTAAAATAAAAATATTAAGAAAATTTTTAATAACTATAACGAGTTTAAAAAAAAACTTAAAAAAACCTTTAGTAACTTTAATAAAAAACGAATTACTAAACGAAGGCTTATAACCCTTATATAAAAAGGGTTAGTTAGTAAGTATATTTTTAAATTTAAATAGATTATTTCTAAGCTCGATTAGGGTAATAAAGTACTTATAGTAGCCTTTTATTACGGCCTAAAAAAAAAAGTTAAAAATAACTTCTCTTATTAAGACCGACTTAATAAACTTTATAATTATATTAATATAATTATTAAAATTAATAATTAATTTTACGAACGACGCTTTAAATAAAAAGGATAGAATATTTAAAATAACTAAGCTAAACTTAATAATAAATATAAATATAAATTAATAATTACTATAATAGGGTATTATAATAGACTAATAAATTTTAGCGTTATTAAAAGGGAATAACCTTATTAAAAAAAAGACTTTAAGTATTATAATTACGATAAACTAGGATATATAGCTAGAGATTATTAATAACTTAAGCATATTTAATACTAACCTATTTTAAAAAAATAAGCTAATATCGTAAGTAAAAAAACCCCCTATAAATAATTTTTATAAACGGCTTATTATAATAATAATTATCTTACTTACTAAGATAGTAAAAAATAAATAAGATAGTACTTAAAATAACCTAAGAATAAGGGACGATCCGATATTATACTATTCGTTAAGACCCTAGTAATAATAATAAAAAAAAAAGATATTTATTTACTAACCCTATACTTTTAAAAAAAAATAATATTAAATATATTACTACGCTCTCTTAGATTTATAAAAATATAAAAAAAAAAGCTAAAATAAACCCTATTATAAAAAATATACTTTATCTTTTTAAAAAACGAATTAAATAAAAACGCTTAGTTAATATAAAAGAGTAGCTCTTTAAATTTAAAAAAAGAAGACCTAATACTAAAAAAATTATAAGTAGCCTCGTTTATATAGTACGACGAAACTATATAAACTAAAAACAATTTACTAAGTTTAAAAAAGGACTCGATCTAAATAAAATCCTAACTAAGTCTATCTATATAATATAAAAAATAAATAGTAATAAAAAATTTATTTATAAAATTAAAAAATAACTTAAAGACCTTTTATATAAAAATAAGATTAAAATAATTAAGAAACTAACTCTTAACTTCGGAATTATAAAAAAAAGAAAAATTAATTTTAATTTTAAAAAAGAAGATGTTAAAATAAGAACTAGTTCTTTTTATTTTAACGAAGTAAAATTACTTTATAATTTAGATAAACCTCGTAACGTTACTTAACGACGTACTTAAATAGAGATTAATTATAAAGTACTATTTAGTATTAACGATATTAATTTTAAAAAAGATAATAACGAACTACGATATAAGTATATTTATTTATTTAAAAATAACTAAACTATTTAGTTTTATAGAACTAAAGAACGTAAAAAAGTTATAATAACCCCCTATATAAATAAAAATTACTCTGTATTTAACCCCGAAGACCCCTTTTATAAAGAATTATTTTAAATAAAATACCTAAATAATAAATATTTTTAATACCTTATATATAAATAAAATAGTCGCTTCTATTTATAAAAACGTAATAATAAGCTTATTAAAGATATTTATATAAAAGACTAATTACTTAGCTAAACGTTACTAAGCTACGACGATAATAACAAAATAATATTCGGCCCAGATCCTAGCTTTTTTATAAAATACTTTAATAATAAATATATAGGATAAGAAGACTATAAGTACAACTAATATTAAGTTTACTATATTAAAAAAGCTAAGGCTTAAAGAGAATAATAAGAACTACGTAAATAAAGTACTTAATAAAAAAAACGTATATTAAAAAACTAAAAAAGCTAATTATAAAAAAACGATAAAAGGTAAGAATAGAAAAGAAGTTCTTATGTATAACTAAATAATATAACGACGTATATTTATAAATTAACCTTAATATTTATAAACGAGAATTAAACGCTATTATTAATAGTAGCGTATAAAAAAGTTATATTTTACTAAAAATAGTAAATAAACTTAACTTACTATAAATATAAAAAAGTAACTTATATTAACTATAAATAATAAAAAGAAAACGAGTTAACTATAACTATAAATATATTAATTAAAAGACTATATACTTTTTAATATATATTAATAATTAATAAGAATAACTATAATATAATATTATAGAGATAGAAAATATTAATGTTATTTTAGGAATTTTATAATTATAAAAGCATAACTTATAAATAGATTAGACTACTAGCTAGGTTTTTTAAAAAAATCTAGTTACTAAACGACTTAAAAAGAAGGGTTTAAACGGATTTTTAAAAACTCCTAAAGAACGAGAATAAATATAATATATAGCTTTTATTAAGATAGTAAAAAGTTCTAAAAAGTTTATAATTAATATTAATAATTAGAGATTATAATAACTCTAAATTATACTTAAAGAGTACTGGATATATAAAAAACTATTTATAAAACTTAAAATAATAGGATTACTAAAACATAGTAACTAAGATATAAAAATCGAGCTTAAAAAAGGGATATAACCCGGGTTCTATTTAATATACTTAATAAATTAAAAAAAATAAAAGTATTTTAATAAATATATTAATAAAAAACTTAAAAAGGGATATATTTAACTATCGAATTCTCTTACTAAATTCCCCTTATTTTTTATATTAAAAAAGGGCGGAAAATTAAAACTTATTATTAATTATAAAAGACTTAACGAAATTATAAAAAAGAATTACTACTTTTTATTACTTATTACTAAGCTTAGAGATCTATTTTATAGAGCTAACTAATTTACTATTATAAATTTTAAAAAAGTATTTAACTAGATTCGGATTAAAAAAGGAAATAAGTAAAAAACGGTATTCTAAACTCGTAAAGGATTTTTTAAATATCTCGTTATACTTTTTAGACTTACTAATACTCTAATAACTTTTTAAATAATAATTAATTACGTATTCTAAGAGTACGTCGATATTTTTATTATTATTTATATTAATAATATTCTTATCTTCTCCTCTAATTTTAAAATATATAAAAAATATATTTATATAATATTTTAAAAGTTTTAAAATACTAAGCTATATACCGAACCCTCTAAATATAAATTCTATATATAAAAAATAAACTTCTTTAAATATATTATTATACTAAAATAAATTTATATATAAATATTAAAAATAGAAGTAGTTAAGGACTAGCTTATATTATAAAACGTTAAAAATATATAAAGATTTTTAGGATTTATTAATTTTTATTAATAATTTTTTAAGGATTATATTAATATAGTTAGACCCCTTAATAACTTAATATAAAAAGATACTCCCTTCGTTTAGGATCCTAAATATAAAAAAGCATTTATTAAAATTAAGAATATAGTTATTTTTAAACTAATTACTAAGATCTTAAACCTTTAAAAACTTTTTAAAATTGAGACCGATATTTTAAATTTTATTATAAGAGCGGTTTTAGAATAACAAAATAAATAAAAAAAGCTTTACTTATATTATTTTTATTCTAAAGTATTTTATAAAATAGAATTAAATTAGTAAATCTATAATAAAGAACTAATAGTAATTATTAAAACATTTTAAAAATAAAAACTATAGTTATCTAGAACTAAGTACGAAGTTATAGTTTATATAAATTATAAGAACTTTATAAATTTTATAATAAATAAGAACCTAAATAAACAATAAGTTAGATAGAGCGAATTCTTATTTAAGTATAACTTCCGAATTATTTATTAAAAAAGTTTAGAAAATAGTAAAGTAAACGCTCTTAGTAAAAGACCTAATTACGAAGTCGCGGTTCTTAAAAAAATATAAGTTATTTTTAAATAAGAAAAGGACGGTAGCCTTATATTAATTACGAAGCTCTTTATAATAATTAGAAAGATTAATACTAGCTCGATTAAAAAGATAACTTTTAAGCTTATTATAAAAATTTATAATATATTAATATATAGTTACTAAGGAATTACTAAAACGTAAAAACGGATTTATTAATACTATAATAAATTTATTATATACGCTAAAATTATAAAAGTAATTAAAAACTACGTAACTTATAAAATAAGTAAAAATAGCCCGTATAAGCTTTATAACGAGCTATAACTATTATAACTACTAATAAAAATATAATAATTAATTATATAAGACTTTATTATTAAACTATTAAAATCTAGAGAACTATTTATTAAAATATAGTATAATAGTATCTTAGTTATAGTCGATCGACTTACTAAGTTTATATATTTTATTCCTTATAAAGAATTAAATACTATAAAAGACCTAATATATATATATTTATTAAAGTTATACTTTCGAACTATAGTTTATTAAAAGAAATTATCTCTAATAAAAATAAGCTATTTATTTTAAAGTTTTAAAAATCCCTAATTTCGTAACTTAGTATAGATTATAAACTATTAATATTATTTTATTTATAAACCGATAGATAAATAAAAAAGATTAATTAGGTTTTTAAGATATACCTTCGTTATTATATAAATTACGACTAGGATAATTAAGTAGTACTTTTACTAATAGCCTAGTTTATATATAATAGTATAGTTAGTAAAAATATAAAAAAATCCCCGTTTTACTTTAATTACGGATTCTAACTAATAATATATAAAGAAGTATAATAAGAACTATAAGCTATAAAAACTATAATAAACGTAAATAAACTTAAAGAGATTTATAAATAAGCCTTACTAAACCTCGAGTTTATATAATAACGTATAAAAAAAAACGTAAATAAATTAAAAATTAAAAAACTATTTTTAAAAGAGGGGGATAATACTTATTTCCTTTGCTATAATATTAAAACGAAATGACTAAGTAATAAATTAGACTATAAAAAACTTAGACTTTTTGAAATTATTAAAAAAGTCTTACTAGTTAATTACAAATTAAGATTACTAAATATAATATAATATTATCCCGTTTTTTATATTTTATTACTTAAACCTATACCGAGAGGTTTATATATAAAAGATTATATTATTATTAAACTAAACTAATTAGAATACGAAGTTAAAAAAATTATTAACTATAAAATAAAGGATAATAAAAAGGAATACCTTATTAAATAGAAAGGCTATAAATATAAAGAAAATATATAAGAACTTATTATAAACTTCTAATATTTTTAAAAACTCTTATGGGACTATTACGATACTTAGGAACGTTAGTATCCGATATTAACGGCCCTAAGGAGGTAAACTCGTTACTAATCCTAAAAAAAGTCTAGTTAATATTATTAAAAATACTTACTACTTAAAGGTTACTTACTACTTATTACTCGTAAATATTTAATATAAAAAGAACGTAATCCTCTTTTTCTAACTTTTATATATTTTAAATAAAAGATTTAATATACCGCTCTTTTTTTTTTTTTTTAATAATCCGAATACGGGCTAAATAACTAACTACTTTTATAATTTCGGACTAAATCCGAGCGAGCTCTGTATAAAAATTAAGTAAGGTATTACTAGCTTCTTTTTTTTTTTATTTAAATTTTAATATTAGTTACTTAGCCTCTTTATTACGAAAATATTAATAACTATAAATAATAAGCCTATAACGATACTTATAACTTAACGTAATAATAAGACTATTATAAAGACGTTTTAGATTTTTATAATCTTAATAAGTCTTCGACCTTTTAACTATATAATATACGCATTTTATATAGAAATATTGAGTATAAAGCATTACGTTATTAGAACTAAAATAATTAAATACGTTATTATAAGCTAAATAAAGCTTAGAAATAAAGTTATTTAATAAACGTTTTTTAATACGACTTAATATTGTATTAGTATATTTTAAAAAAGTATACTTAACGAATCCCTAACTTAGGAATAAATAACCTATTTATAAGTCTATAGGACTAGACTTTTAAAAAAGAGACCTAATATTACGACCTAATATATATAACTAAAACTAAGGCCCGCCCTATAAGCTTATAATAGCTATAATATATTATATATATAAGAGTATAAGAACATAAGGTAATTTTTATAAAATAAAAAAATTATAAAATAAGTTATATAATAATAAGAAATAAGAAGGTCCGTATATTAAAAATACGGACCCCGTTTTTTTAAAATATAAAGCCTATATAATTAAAATACCGGGCTTATTAAGTAAATATATAAATAAAAAATATATTTAAAAATAAAATTTATATATAATATAAACTTAAGCTAAGCTTAAGGATAAACTTCTTATAGTTTTTTTAATAATTAACTTAGTATTAAATCTTACGATCGCTTTTAGCTATTTTTATTAAAAACCTTTTTTAATAAGTTTATAATTAATTACTAAAGCCTTACTTATTTTATAACTTATAAATATAGTTTTAAAAAAGCTATTTATAACTATAATACTATTTACTTAGTACTCATAGCCTTAACTTCTACTAATATACTTATTATAACTAGCTAGCTATAATATATAACTACTTAATATAGCTAAATTACTTTTTAATTTAATAACCCTATTTATATAAATTATACTATTTAAAAAGGGTATAAAAACTAAGTAAATAACTAATAATATTAAAAAACTACTTAATTAAGTATTAATAACCTTTATTATTAACTAGTTAATTCTTAAAAAGATTAGCGAGTTTAGTAACTATTTAAAGCTATTTATAAAGCTTAGTCTAAATAATATTACTTAATAATTATTATTTAAAAAAGTAAAAAAAGTATTTAATAAATAAGCTTACTACTTAGCTATATTTTAGTACTAAATTTAATTTTTAAAAATAAAGATTAAGTATATAAGGCTTAAAAAAAAGAAGAGTATATTAATAAACCTAAATACTAAGTTTATAAATATTTAGGACGTATAGAGGGCTTAAAAAGACTTTAGTAACCGTTTAATTAGTCCTAATTAACTTATAAGGGTTAAGTTATTTAATAAAAATAATAATTATATTATTATAGTAATAGAAGGTAGTTAAATAATTAACTATAGTTAATATCGATATTTTAAGACCATGTTATTAGGGTAGGCTAAAAGGGGGGGTGGGCCAAAAGTGGGTGGTTTGACTTATGTAAGTAAGTAAATAGCGACATGCAAGAGACGGCGGGTGCAAACCAATACTCTTTCTTCGAGACATGCTGACATCGAACATGTTACAAGTACCTTCTCATTTATCTCGCTTTACCACAAGATTCCAGGCCGGTGGCAGAAAGGTAATTTCGTGGACTTCACATGAGTAGACCATAAAGAGGCTTGATGGAAGTAAGCAGACTGCTTGCACGTGCAGTTCGTGAAATGAATTAAATTTGTTGTCGCAACGTTATGGATGATACGTATTATAAGAAATGAAATAGATCTAATTACTCGACATCATTCTCAGAGGTATTTAAAACGTCGAGCAACAAGAAGAGACAGCAGAGCGAAAGCAGTTATGCTGCCCAGGATTCCAAAGAACGCGTTAAGGTTGTCAGTATCCTTCCAAGGGACCTTGACGTTCATGCCGAAAAGACCACACACAACATTGAGAGGAACAATAACAGTGGCGATGACCGTCACCCGACTCAAGAAGTCGTTCGTCCGGTTACCCATATCGATGTTGTCAATCGAGAGCTGCGCCAGGTAGTTGCTGTGCGATCGCGAGAGCATGGTATCGAAGTGGACAAGGCTGTGCATCATCGTTACCGCGTGATCTTGGATATCGCCAAGGTAAAGGGCAATATCCATGTGTGGCGTGACATCGAAATCTTCAGTGCATCTCTTAGTGAAAGCACGAAGCACGTCTGCCTTCCCGCCGAGCAGGCGCATGAGACTCATCACGTTCTTTCTGGTGTATCCGATCTTCCGAAGAAAGGCTTGGTTATCATCTACACGGGTGATGAACACCTGGTCTTCGATCGCATCGGCCTCGCGTTCGATCTCGTTGATCGCTGGTCCAAAAGAGTCCACAATGTCATCGCTGCGCTGGTGTCAGATGAGGTTCATTACAAGAAGCAACCTCCTTGAGGGACATCTGGGGCTGCTTTGGCTTACATCAACGCGTAGCAGATCCAATCACTGCTGAGAGAAACTTGCTCCTTCAATTGCGAAATCCGGAATCGAACCCTCAATGCATGCGAGTTTGCAGTGAAGCTGAAGCTGAGTATCCCCTCTCTAAAGACTACCGCGTAAACGTTGAACGGATGGTAGTCTTTCTCATTATCTTCCTCGACGACGATGAACGACCTGAAGCAGGCGAAGTAGTACAGCGGAAAGAGTTCGATCTTTTCGCGACTCTCTTGGTGTATGATATCCTCGATGGTAAGTGGGTGGATCCCAAAGGCTTTGCAAATCGTCCAGACCTCGCTGCCAGTCGGGTTATTCATGTTAAGCCACCAGACACCATCGGCCTCTGCCTCGGGCATCTCGAACAGAGACCTGATGCTCTCGCCTGGGAGGACGAGGTCGCCGAATTCCGCTGCATGGATCGTTGATTCCAAGGCCGAGGAGAAGTAGTTAAAGCGGCTTTGCTCAATGTGCTGGCTTGCCCTCGGGAGCGGTTGCTGGGGTGCTGTCGCCTCCTTCTCTCCCGCGATGGAAGCTGCTTGGGATGCAACATCGATGAAGTCTCCATCGGAGGTAAACATGCGCGTAGCGGTAGGGATGGAACTATCCGGAAGATTGACAAAGTCGGAACTGCCAAACTGGTCGCGACTCTCAGCGTCAATCAATGTCTCCAAATAGTCAAAGTCGATGTGGAGCCCATCTTTTTGGACGTTGTCGAGCTTGGTGTCCTCGGCCTCGGGAGATGACTTGGGCTTCGGCACGGGCGAAGAGGTTTCGTGAGCACCGCGATCAAGAGCCTTGCGGCTGTGGAAGCTACGACTGATGCTATTGGGATAGTTTTGAGATACCCGGAGGCCATAGTCATTGCTAGTCTCAACCTCGGCCTGAGGTCTGCGCGAAGAGGCCCTCGGATCGTGCGCTTCGACATCCTGTCCTCTGCGGCGCGCATTGGCAAATGCCTTGACGGAGTTGGGCGGCGACGTCGTGCGCCTCGACTCGATGGTGGGACGTCTGCTCAGAGGCCGCATAGTTGGGGATTCGAACATGGTCATGTTGGCTACGTAACGGGTCGTCCCTCGTTCGGGTTCTCTTCCTCGAGGACTCGAGATGCTTTCCACATCCCGACAGCCTCCGTTGGGACTCAACAGGGTCGCATCTTCGAGTCCCCGGATGGACTTGTCGTCTTCCTTCTGCGACATGACGTTATGTTCTCTCTTCTTTGATGCGATTGAAGGCCGAAGAGGTACTAGTGCCAAGTCGAGGGTCTAGATCTTGTCCAAGGTGTTCCTTTACCGCACGTTCGAGTGGTGTGCTCGCAGGTATCGCTCCTTCGTACGCTTTGCCATATCCTGGCAGATGTTTGGATCAGAGTAATGAGGTGACCGAACTGACTTGTGGTCGTGAGATCTGGCGAAAGCGGTGACCATTCCAATAGTTTGAGGAACGATTCCGTGATGAGTGCTGTGCTGTGACGATGTTGGTCGCTCTTGGGGGTCGGAGAATGGAAATGCCACCAAAGATACCGATTCAATGACGATTCGTGTTTGAGAATGGGATGAGGACAAGGACGGGTAATATGAAGGTTTTTGAGACTACTCGGCTACTCTAAGTAGAGAAACTAAGGGAATGCCCGTCGCCCAACCGAGGAGACAGGTTCTAGAGCGACATCATGGGCACCGCCTCACGCAGGCGGAGTCTTAACAAAACTTTCCCCATGGGGCGGCCTCTTTTTCCTCTGCGGTATTAATGTCCAGCTTTCACTGCCGGACGAACTACCTTATCTATCTGAAGACCCCGAAAGCTGATATCATGCATTCTCAAAAGCCGCAAGTCTCGAAAGAATCTTGCATTCTTTGCGATAAATATGAACAGCAATTAATCTGTTGCCGTCATAGCCGCTCTCGCATGCGACGTAGAACTCGTCCAAAGTTTTTGACGCAGGCCTTCGCGCCACACAGCCCCAAACCTCCCAAGCTCGATTGGGAACAGACATCAAATGCCTCATACTGGATTGGGCCACGAGCGGGCGCTTCGGCCCCCGGGAGCGTTGAGTAGAAATTGTCGCATGGAACATTCTCTATTCTTTTGCAGGAGCAACGGCCGCGCTACCAATGCACCCCGTGATCAGGTGCTGATGCACATCAGTGAGCTGTCGCGCAAGCGCGTCTGGGCACCATATTCCGCACGTCGCGCTCGCGGGGATCGGAATGAGCGGTCTGTTATTAGGACAAGGGATCTAGAACTTAGATTTGACTGACACACCCAGACTGGTGGGTGGGAACACGCGACCGACTCTGCAGTAAGACGACGATTGGTGTCTAGCTGGAGGCCGGACTGATAGCTGCCGGGAGACTACGACTCATCGCCCCTCATAATAAGGCTTGCTAAGTTTATTCCTCGGCACCTCTGAGTCTGAAGCAGTGAACCACACGGACGGTGACATCTTTTCTGTATCGACTCCGAATAAGGTGTTGCCGAGCTTGGTCTTGTTGAGACACGTGCTGCTTGACAGGGACTCGAACTCTCACGCATCATCACGCTACTGAATAGGCTCAGGTACTGGGCTGTCTTCAGTGGTCAATGCTGGACACCCGACGCGAAGCGCTGCATACCGTCATTCAGGGGAGGCGACGAAGGTGAGGAATTTGAACAGACAACAGACACAGATGTTAATGTAGATAGCCAACTTGTTTGGGGTATTGAATTTGTTCTACTGAGCGACAGACTATGGCTACCTAATGACAGCAAAATGCAGCATACATTGCAAACTCCTCGTCTGCGAGCAGCTGCTCCATCTCGTCAGCGAATAAGCTAATAAGCAGCTCGATACCTCCGTGACTCTTCATCGGCAACACCATGCAAAGCCTAAAATTCGCATTGAAGGCATCCATCAAGGGTCGCAGCGACTCCGGCTTGCCATCATTGCTAAACACGTAGTCGCCAAAGTTGATCTTATCCAACGGCAGCAGCAACACTGACGTGAACATGACATCGAATCCATCGAGTCGGGTGAATGCAAGCTTCATCTTCGTGTAGTCCGGAACTTCGCGCATGAGGTTGAACGCGTCCTTCACAAGCCCTGGATTCACCTTGGCCGCCTGTGCCCGAATTTGCAGAGCGACATCGCGCAAGCTCGTAGACGGCGACGCGAGCTCGGCCACCCGCATCGGAACTTTGTTGACAATAACGAGATTCCCAGCATACGACGACGGAAGCTCTGGGTCGAAATCCGTGCGGCCGTCGACGGGAGATTCCAAGTATGACACTTCGTCCGCCGGCGCTGGCTGGCCGGATGCGATGGCCGCTTTGTATCGCGCTTCCATGAAACCGCGCCAGAAAAGCGCTAAGAGTGCGTCATTGGCCGACAGTCCCGTCCCGTCATGAGAGTCATCTAAAACATCCTTCTTCAATTTGTTGAAATTGTCCGGAGAGATGTAAAAAATGCTAGACTCCATGGTCCGGAGCGGGGCCGCAGGTGGGGCCGCAGCAGTAGCCGTTTCCTCCTCCGCATCTGGCGGCTGAAAGCCGAGAAAGCCCCAAGTATCGCACGGGATCTTGGCAACAGCCTTGGCAGGCGTCTTACTCCACAGCCGCTCCAGAAGGGTGCGATTGAAGCTCTCCGGAGCCAGCCAGCTGCACACGTTGGTATCCGGATGCGCGAGGTTTCTGCAGTGTTCCGACCACGCACGCATCGCCATAACCATACCGGTCGCGTCGCTAGCGGAATGGTGGAATCCCGTCGCAAGAATGCATCCCCCATTGACGAAGTTCGCTTGCGCCAAGAAGACGTCGGCACCGCCCGTCAAGTCTGGCACGAATGGGGCAGCTAGAACGAGCTCATCATCGAAAGCAGATAACTCAAATCCTGCCATATGGGGAACACTGGCTCTCTACCTTGGCCTCTTGGTAGGCAGAATGATCCTGTCCAGCTTCAGCGAAGTTCCAATGACGACTTACATTACTTCTAGGGCGTAGCAAGTCCAATCATCTTGGCTCTTTACAACTACCTACTATCTTCATCCCATTGCACATGTGAAAGGACCATTCATCGCGTCAATATCTCCGGTATGCACGCAAAGTTGTATCTCGCTACCTTCCACTGCCTCATGTTAACGACGGTTTTAGATCTGGCTGATTCGGTCCGTATCAGGACATCGACTCAATAACGACATCGAAAAGGTGCACGCCGAATACGGTAATTCAGCAGGTTTATGCATAGCTTCCTGAGCTCTGCTAATCGTTGTGCCCCCAGGACCTGTCGTTCGTATCGGCCCCAACGAACTTTCGTTTGCCACAGAAGATGCGCTCAAGACTATTCACAACCCTGGCCCCGACGGTGGTCACTTTACGAAGCAGGGGACTATTGAATCTCTGCTGGCCAAACTCATTTGGGCAGCTCCAAATCTTTTGACCACCACCGATCGAACTGCACACAAGAGACTGCGTACCGCATTACAGCCAGCCTTCACAGCCAAGGCGTTGATGGAGCAGGAAGATATCGTTCAGCACCACGTGAATCGGGCCGTCGAGTCTCTAGGTTCAAAACTTCATGAGGGCAAGATTGTGAGTATCAGTGATCATGTTAGAAAGATGATTTGGAGCATCGTTGGAGACTTGTCTTTCGGAGAGCCGCTCCTCCATGATCAAATGAGTAAGTACTAAGTAGGGACGACATGCACGCCCTTTGCTGTCATCAAGCTGATCATCTTGGTAGGCACGTACGAAAAAATGAAATACACTTATGGGAAAGGAGCGCCACTCCTAGAACTCTTTCAATTTCTGACAGAAACGCCCATCTTCGGTGGGCTCGCAAAGCTACCGGTCATGATAGTTCCACACATTTTCCGCGTCCCCAAAAATTTCCTTCTGATGAATCAACTCAGAGGGTGAGCTAGTCGAAGTCCATTCTACGACATGAACTTAAACTCACACAATTATAGCTGCATCGAGCGCCAAGGAGGGCGCAAAGACTTTTTGACCGCCATCTTATCCGCCAAAGAATCTGCCGGATTGACTCAGCCGGAGATGTTGAGTAATTCGGCCTTATTCGCGTAAGTTTCTCCTCATTTCCTGTCGTCTCATCACCCTGTCGTCCCCGATTCTAACTGGAAACAGCATGGTTGGTTACGATACTTCCGCTACAACTCTATCAGCAGTCTTTTACCACGTGTTGCGGGACCCAGACCACTACCAGCGGATTCAGGTAGAAGTCCGAGAAGCATATTCTTCCATCTCTGACATCACGGCTCAGAGTGTGCTCCGACTCCCATATTTGAATGTCTGCGTCTAAGAAACGCTCCGTCTCACGCCACCGATCAACGGTCGTGGCTCTCATCGCATCTCACCTGGGGCTATGATTGACGGGCTGTACGTCCCCAAAGGTGTCAATGTCTCTGCTGATATTTGGACTGTCCAGCGTAAGCTCGAGTATTGGGCTCTCGCTGACAAGTTCTGGCCTGACCGCTGGCTTGGCAATGGTCCGGGCACCGTCTTTGAGTACGATGTCCGGACCAGCTACCGGCCATTCCTCGTTGGACCCCGAGTGTGCATTGGTCGCGAGATGGCTTTGCAGTCCATCCGTCTAACTGTAGCCAAAGTAGCATTTTCGTTTGATTTAGGAATGGCTAACAAGGATACTTTCGTGTGGGAGAGAGATGCAGGCAATGATTATGTCTGGCATGACTATCATGTCTTGGTGAGGAAGAGGGCACACCAAGAGTTTCAAAAATAGCCTGGTGGCATCAAAAGGTCGCCAAATTCAACTTATAGAGAGAAGTCCTTCAGCCCCTTGATAGTCCCATCGATACCAAGTTCCTCCTTCTCATCCGGGCCCAGTAATCCCAACGCCTCACGTCGACCTGGAGCTGCGGCGTCGAAATACGGCTTCTCGGCAAGAGATGTTACACGAGTTCCATGACGAGGGTGATTGCCCTCATAGTCCCAGCTGGCGTTGTGGATAGTGATTCTAGAGAATGTTAGCTAGCCGTCATCTTGCATCATCATCCGGCATTGAGAATGTACGCACCTGTTATCCCACAGGGCACTGGTGTTGGGAGTCCACTTGAAGCGGACTTGGATATCGACATTCTTCTCATATACATCAAAGAGGTAGTTCAAGATGACATCACTCTCCGCTTTGTCGAGACCGATAATATGTGTGGTAAACAGACGGTTGACGTAGAGAGACTTCCATCCCGTCGCAGGATGGACGCGGACAAGAGGGTGCGCTCGCTCAATGTGCTTCGGTCCAGCCTCGGGGTCGTTGCGGTCCAGGTACGTGTGAGCAGAGCGGTAGACGGCGTATTTGCCATCGATGATCTTACGGAAATCGGGCGAGAGCTTCTCATAGGCGGAGTATCCGCTAGCCCAGAGGGTGTCACCACCGATGGGTGGGACAGCATCATTGTGCAAGTGAGTGATGCCGGATGGCTGACGTTCGTGGACTAGATCGGTGTGCCATTTCGAAGCACCGCCGGGGCTACGGAAGTTTGCTTTCCTCTCGGTGGCCATCAACGCCGGCCAGATTACTGTGACACCCAAGACGCCAGGGACTTGCGGAACTTGGGGCTATCGAGACACTTAGCTCAATCACATGCCCTTTCAAATAGAGCCAGACTAAGATCATCATGACTCACATGAACTTCAACTTCACCATACCAATCTCCCAACTCTTTCTGCTGTTGAGGCGACAGATCCTGGTCCCTGAAGAACACAACACTGCGCTCAGCAATGAGCAGCGCAAGCTCATCCTTTTGCTCAGGTGTAAGGTCCTTCAGCTGCAGGCCCTCAATCTCCGTACCAATGTGAGCCGTCAAGTTAGTGACTTTCGTCGCCGCACTGAGCAGGTTCTTCTTAGACTTGTCGGCCCTTGAGCCGGCGTCGACGTACTCCCTCTCCTTGTTGCGGATGTTGTATGCATCGTCCAGATACAGAGGCCGCGAAGGGCGGTACGGGTACCCATTTGACAAGTCGACTCCAGCCTTGATTAGTCTTGCCTTTGTGGTTTCGGGGAGCCCGAGGGTGTCCTTCCGCGGCTCCGCCACGTCGGTGATTGATGGGTCGATGGGGGCGGGAACCATGGTGATCTTATTGAGAGATGCGGAGATGCGGTTTAGCTCAGAAAATGGATATGATGTCAAGTCTTTGCAAATGATAGAAGAATTAGCAACTGCTTCTAAGACGAGCTGAAACGCATAGGCCCAGGCTGCCTTTTAAGTCTTGTAAATCAGGGCCTCTATTGCGAGGCGTTTCCCCAGGTCCAAATCCACGGGACCTCCTCATCTGATCACGTTAACCATCAATGCCATGATTACCAATAATCGCGGGGTCGATGGTGCTTTAAGCAGAGGTTATCTATGGCTTCATCTGCATCAAATGTGACGAATCCAGAACCAGATGCGTAACATCGAACCACCGCGCCACGGAACTCGGGGAGCAAACTCTCCAACCAAAATCCGGCGTCAGCACGCGATCAACATCCAAACTCTCCAGAAGCTCGACGGCAGGAATCTAGCCAAAGATGATGAAGGGTTTAATCAGCCGGTTGTTGGCTCGACGATTCGCCCTACCCTCCCCCGCGGAAGCGGATCCGGGGCGCATCGGCGACGGCGGCGCACTCGAGTGGGGGTTACGCGATACAAGGGCCCGATTGTGTGCTCGTCAACCAACATCAGCCCAATCCCCTTTAAGAGATCATCACCCGAAGAAATCGAGTTTGAAGGGCTGGACTCGTGCGGGGGAAACTAATTGCTAGAGTGCGAGTGTAAGCTTCCGATTTCCTAACTCCGTATGCCCCTCACTCCGAAGTCCGACCCAATTCTTGGCTGAAGTACTTACTTTACCTGCCCAGCAAGAAGCTTCGTGCGAAGCTTTTGATCGACGGGATACCAAGAGTGTCTATAAGCGATTTCAGTTAGATAAATCTGTGCGCTAGCGAACAAGCTCGACACTCATAGTACCTGATCCCTAGGGTCATAGGGAAACCTATCTAAAGTGATTTGGCAACAATTGGTTCCGGATCGTCCCGGATAATCGACCATCACGCAGCCTTTATCAATCTTCAGAGAATCATCTGCATGTCAATGACAGGATGTCTATCGGATGTTGTCCGCACCAAGGATGACAGACGCGCGCTTGTGCGGCGTTGTGCCTACAGTGCCTTCAGCTGTGTCCAGCACGCCATCGTATCCAGAAACCTCGTCAGCGATATGCCCAGTTCTTCCCTAGTTGGCCATGCGAGTCTGCTCCGGTGTTGGCCCGAAAAACCCTGAAAACCTTGAAAACGCGATGGAAGAAAATTCCGCATATTCTGCTATATAAAGTCTAGCGTTTGCATCGAATGTCGTTATTATTCTTGATTATGTCGATGCAGGCGCGCAGCTGATCACGTACTCATTGTCTTTCTGGTTCTGAGACCAACAAGCTGCAAGTATGGGAGTTCCAGAGATCGAAAAGACTACGGTCGCCGACTCACCTCGGAGCAAGTCGCCATCTTCCGTCGCCGCGCGAGAGGTCCAGCCAACTGTTGTTGAACTCGTGCAAGAAGAACCGAAGCTCACATGGCGGTCATATGTCTGGGATACATTAGACAAGTCACCTGAAGAACGCAAGTTCATGTTCAAACTGGATGCTGTAATTCTCACATTTGCAAGTCTGGGATACTTCATCAAGTAAGTTGGCTCTTACTAGACAGCTCACTATCTGTACTAATGCTTCATCAGGAACCTTGATCAGATCAACATCAACAATGCCTTTGTGTCTGGCATGAAAGAAGACATGAAGCTCTTTGGTAACGAGCTCAATTACATGCAAGCCTGCTGGACCGTTGGATATGTCATTGGCGAAATCCCGAGGTCAGCTCAACGCCAACATGAACTCTTTATTTGATAGTGTTAAGAGTACTGACTATTTTCTACAGCAACATCCTTCTCACTCGCGTCCGGCCATCAATCTGGATCCCTGCCTGCGAATGCACATGGGCTGTCCTAACAATTCTCATGATCAAATGCACAAATGTCACCCAGCTTTACGTTCTCCGGTTCTTCATCGGTCTCGCCGAGAGTACATTCTACCCAGGCATGCAGTACATCATCGGATGCTGGTACAGAAAAGACGAACTTGCCAAGCGATCCTGCCTTTTCCACTCCGCAGGCTCCATCGGCTCCATGTTCTCGGGCTACCTCATGGCTGCCGTCTACAACCTCAGCGGCGTTCATGGATGGAAGGGCTGGCAGTGGCTCTTCATCGTCGATACCGTCATTTCCCTGCCGATTGCGATTGCCGGGTTCTTCTTCCTGCCCGACGTGCCTGAGATCACAAAAGCCTGGTGGTTGACCAAAGATGATGTGGCGCTCGCGCAAAAACGAATGCAGCTTGAAGGTAGAGCGAATCGTCAGCCGTTCACAAAGGCCAAAATTAAGAAGATTTTCACCAGTTGGCATATTTACGCCCTTACAGCGCTTTATATCTTCTTCAACAATGGATGCGGAATTATGAGTCAGCCTGCGTTCCAGTTGTGGTTGAAGGGAGAGGGATATTCTGTCAAGGAGTATAACACATATCCGACAATTACATCCGCCATCACCGTGATAACGACGTGGATATACGCCTGGTCTTCGGACTCGGTTTTCAAGGGCGAGAGATGGCCACCGATAGTCTTCTCCGGAACACTCAACATCGTCATCTACTCAAGTTTAGCGGCATGGAACATTTCCGACTCATGGAAATGGGGCTGTTTCCTTCTCGTTGGATTCGGTGGTGGCATCAGCGGGTTGACGTTCGCATGGGCCCATGAGATTTGCAAAGACGATAACGAAGAGCGAGCGCTCGTAACTGGCTCGATGAATCAGATGGCGTACGTTTTCCAGGCATGGTTGCCGCTGCTTATTTGGCAGCAAGTCGAGGCTCCGCGGTACCCGAAGGGTTATATCACGATGATCTTTTTTGCTGTTGGTATGGCGGGCACTTCGTTGTTGATCAGGTTCTTGCACCGTCGGGAACTGGGGAAGAAGCTCTCGGTGCCGGCTGCTTAAAGTGATGGAAAACGTCTTGCGTAATGAATTGCGTCCGGTGGTATCGAAAACGCCGTTATGTAGCCACTTTCGAAGGAGCTCTCATATGTTGATGAGTTTCTAAAACAGAGAATAAGATGCGGGGTAGTCGCTACAATCCCAACATGTTGAATCCTATGGTAACCCGATGAGTGGACCTCAGTCTGTATCTCACGGATTTAGCATGAGACCACACACGATGCATGGTTTCGATGACCTCAAATTTCTTTTACGTACTATTGTTCTAGTCTGTCTCAACTGCATCCAACTCTCGATACAATTTCTTCTTCACCTCCTCGCTAGCCCAACACATGTCAACTCCATTCCTCGCCAGCTTGACCATTTCCTTCTTACTGAATCCACAGTAGGTATACGCCTTCTGCATGTTGCCATCTACCCAAACATCATGCATGTATACCGGGTCATCGCTGTTAATGTTAAACTTGACACCCCTTTCCCACAACGTCCGAATCTTGGGAAACAGCACTTCCGTCGCCGTCCGCCGGTGATACGCGTGGGGACACAACGTCAAGCCGATACCTCGATCCAACAACCCCTGCAGCAGTTCCTCCTTATCCGCCGCATCAAGCCCGTGATCAATACGCTCCGCTCCAGCGCCATCACAGACATCAAAAATCGCCTCGTGGACGTGCTCAAACGTGTCCTTTTGCCCGAAATCGCAGTGCATCGTGACATGCAGCCCATCCTTCTTCGCCCTCTGGAATCCTTGCTCGAAGAGCATCGGCGGCCTCTTGAAGGCGTTGCTAGCCAACCCGACAGCGTGGAAGAGACCCTTGCCACCCTCGACAATACCAGCAGCCCACGGCCTGGCAGCCTCGTACGCAGCCAACCCGTCCTCGAGGCTTTCATCGCGAATGAAGCAAAATATCCAATTCGACTTTACACCATGCACCTCCGCGCCATCACGCTGAGCTCTCAAGTACCCATTCAACACATCCTCCGCAGGCACGCCCCTCCGCGTGTGCGCCTGGATGTCGAAAAACGGCTCGACGTAGCGGACATTCATCTCGGCGCAGCGCCGGAAGTAGTCCATTGACATTTCGTAAAAGTCATCTTCAGTCTTCAAGACTTCGCAGCCGGCGAAGTAAGCCTCGAGGAATGTCGGAATACCCGGGACGCGGCCGTTGATTTCGGGGCGGTGGTTGAAGAAGACCTTGTATGAGTCCAGGAGAGCCTCGTAGGTTTCGTATTGGAGGGGCACGTTGTTGCGTTTTGCGAGTTTCCAGCGGAGGGCGGGGAGAAGAGTTCCCTCGATGTGGATGTGCAGCTCGACCTTGGGGAGGGAGGCGATGAAGGGTGAGATTTCGAGGCCATTCATGGTTTCGGGGTTATTGGGGTTTGCCCGTTGTCAGATTCCAGAATCCCGGTTGCTGGTGTCAAGATGAGAAGACAAGTGAGAGTTGAGATGTCTGATCGTGTAAATGAAGAGCCAATCAAGCGGGCGGGATATGGCTCGAGACTAGGATGTCTTGATATCTCTTTAGCCTCCGCGGGCACCTTTGCCGATCCAGCTGGGCGTCGCGTGGTAAATAGCCCGTCAGTCAGTAGTCATACAGCGCCGGACGTGGTCCGACAACTCGACGATGGATCTCTTCTCGTCGGCTAAGACAATTCCACAAGCCATTTCTCAACAAGCTTAGTTCTGGAACATTGGTATATCTCGGCGTGTGAGAAGCACGAATCATATTAGACTGGAAACATCAGAATGGAGTTCTGATGGCCGATGTTCGCAAGCAATGTGGGGTATTCAAGAAGGATTCGATAAGGAAATTACTAGCAACAAGAGAGTCACAAAATCAAAGACTAAAGTTTTGATCCCCCCCATATTCTGCCCATGGGCCAACTGTAACCGCCGAGTCGGTATCGAACACCTTTAGTTAATGTCAGCAACTCTGCGCTCGTCCACTCACATGGTCTTCATTCATCTCCAAAATCCGTCAAATGTCCTCTGCTCTCCCCACATCGCGACGGTGCCACGAGAGCTCATTGAACGGCGCGATCGCTGTAGCGCCACTAGCGGAGTAACGTCGTATCTCGTCGGTTCGGATATTCGCCGACAGCACACAAAGGTGGGACGATATCTCCAGGCCAATCCACGCAAGACACTGGAGAACACCGTCTATTCAGCGGAGTCTAGCGGTCGCTAAACCGTTCGCCCACTCCCACCCGACGGACGCAAACGCTTGTCTTATCAATTGACGTCCTGTTATCGGTCATTGTCTAGACACTTTGGTCGGTGAATTTACCGGTTCGCGGCCGTAGAACCGTTCGTTGGACAAGGGGACCGGAGCGAGAGAGGGAGGGAAAAGGAGAAACAGGCGAACGCGTTGGACCTGTCATTGTCGGGTAAGATTGGCGGAAGATAAGGCGCGTAACGTACTCTCTTACTGTATTTCTTCTTTTGGCCGCGGAAAGGTCGCGACCATCCCCGCCCCCGATACCTTGTTGAATGGCCGCCGCCTCATTCAAAAGGGCGACGACACCCCGGCGCCGCTCTCGAGATGCGACCCTGGGATTTTCTGTAGGAGCTTCGAGTTCTCGGACAGTGGTCGACGAAGACGATCAAGAAATAGACGATCCAATCGACGAACGGCAGAACCTGCTCGCCAACATGGGGTCATCAACAGACGCACCGCAGAACCCTCCCGCAGAGGTGCAGGATGGGGAGAGGCAACACATTGACAGCGACATGGCCAAGAAGATTGTCCGCAAGATTGATTTCAATATCATTCCGCTGCTCTTCATCACTTACATGTTCAACTTCATGGACAAGACTATTCTGTCCAGCGCCTCTGTATTTGGTCTCAGAACCGACACCGTATGTCGTTTTCCCATTTGTCATCTCATCCACGCTACGACGGTATGTTGCTAACCTCGTGAACAGCATCTCAAGGGCCAGAACTATAGCTGGGTTTCCAGCATTTTCTACTTTGGCTACTTCGCCTGGACCTACCCGACCTCCCTCCTCATCGCCCGCCTCCCCGTCGCAAAGTACATGACCGCAAACACCTTCTTCTGGGGCGCCGTCGTCGCCCTCACAGCTGCCTGCACAAATTACGGCGGCCTGCTCACCGTCCGCTTCCTCCTCGGCGTCGCAGAGGCCACCATCACGCCTGCCTTCATGTTCCTCACCTCCACCTGGTACACCCGCGACGAGATCCCCACCCGCACGGGCATCTGGTTCGCCGGCAACAGCGTCGGCGGGCTCGTCGCCTCCTTTGTCGCCTTTGGCTTCGGCCACATCTCGAGCGACAACAAGGTCGGCCCCTGGCGCTGGATGTACATCATCCTCGGCGTCCTCACCTTTGTCTGGGCGTTTGTGTTGCTCATCTGGCTGCCTGATACCATCTCAAAGGCCCGCTTCCTCAAGCCTGAGGAGCGCCGGTACGCCGCCGACCGCGTCGTCGTCGCTGGCACGGGGTCCACGGAGAAGACGCACTGGAAGTGGGACCAGGTTGTCGAGTGCATGATTGACCCCAAGACGTGGTTCATCTTTGGTCTCGAAATCATTACCCAGATTCCCAACGGCGGCACCCAGAACTTTGCCAACCTCGTCATCAAGTCTTTTGGCTTCACCAGCTTGCAGTCGACACTCATCAACATCCCCTACTCGCTCCTCTCCGCCGCCATCATCGCCGGAACGGGCTGGATCGCGGGCCGCTACCGCAAGATGAACTGCATCCTGATTGCCATTGTCGTTTTGCCGTGCATCACCGGTGCTGCGATCATCTACTCCCGGGAAAGCGTCAGCAACGGCGTCCAGCTCTTTGGCTACTTCCTCCTGTCCCCTGGCCCGGCCGCCATGCCCCTTGCCATGTCTCTTGTCTCGGCAAACTACCGCGGCGTGACCAAGAAGATGACCATGTCGTCTCTGCTGTTCCTCGCCTACTGCGCTGGCAACATTGCGGGCCCGCAGTTCTTCAAGGCCTCCGAGGAGCCGCACTACAACACCGCTTTCCGCACCATCATGATCTGCTACTCGCTCGTCGTGGTGCTGGCGCTCGGTCTGCGATTCTACCTCCAGTGGATGAATGCCAAGCGCACGAGGGAGGAAGGTTATGAGGGTAGCGCTGGCGGTGCTGGTGCTGTTGGTGGCGGTAAGGTCATGCAGGCAGAGGGTACTGCTGGTGATGTCGCGGACATGGTTGATCGGGTTGAGCTTCGGCCTGAGGATTACGAGGATGTAACGGACTGGAAGACCGCCGGCTTCAGGTATCGTCTGTAATAGGTGAAGTGGCTGCTTTGCTGGCAGAGATCTGGGTTGATTAAGCCTCCGTAGATGGATACATAGACCGTTTGCGCTCCTCACTCACCTCTTCTGGGAGATGAGACGTAGGGGTTCACAAACTTAATAGACACTTCGGTGAAACAGTCCTGGCCGCGCCGATTGTTATGTGGTGATGTGAAGTGAGATGATGCGACTGTACTTCAGTCAAAGTGACCCGCGACATGGTGCTCAACAGCAGCAGCATCACCCTCAAACTCGCCGCAGACAGGGCAGGTCACGGTCTCAGAAACCGGAGTAGGCGCCGCTTCCTGCACCTCAGCGTCAGAGTTCGCAGCCGCTCTACCTCGCCCACCATTCTTCTGCTTAGCAGGCCGAATGTAAGCCTCAAGTCCAACCTGCGCCGAAGGCAACTCAGGCTCGGCATCTTGCCTGCGACCGCCGCCACGGCGGGGAGGTCTACGTGAGTCTCCATACGCGGTCGAGCCGTCGGCGACGTCCGAGGATATAAATGACGGATCTTGTGCTTGCTGCCTGCCATCGGTATGAGACTGAACTCGTCCGACCCGGCCGTCGGAGAGCCGGACTTTGATGCCTCGAGGGTGGTTGCCGCGCGTGAGCACATCCTGGACGATCCCGGAGACGGTGCGGCCTGTGGGTTGGTCTGCTTTGAGTACGATGTTGACGCCTGCACCGCGGACGACGGTGGCTATCGTCGGAACACGAGCCATCTTGAAGAAGATTTCTGTGGAAAGGACAAGACTGTCGGCGGTAATGCCGTTGTAGTTTCGGCAAGGGGGTGTAAGTGGGCGGTGTCGCGTCGCTGGTGATGGTGGCCCTACAGAAAATGTGAGTTTGGCGAATGACGCCACTAGCCAGGCGAGGGTTCTGTGGCGCGGCCGATCGCGGTAAATCCGCACTCGGCCCTGCTGAGCAACGTTAGATCAACGCGGAAATTTCCAAACTTTTTCATGAATTAGGCCGGGTGGCGCAATGGCAGCGCGTTGCTTTCCGGTGGCAAAGGTTCTGGGTTCGAGTCCCAGCTCGGTCGATTTGTTTTGCATTAGATGCTTACGAGCTATTTTTTGATTGACGATTGGTGATTGAGGGTTGTCTGATGAATTCCCGCAATTGATGGGGTGGTGGCCTGGGAACACTCTTGTTTCGCAGGGTTGGAACCTTGAAGAAGAGTAACAAAGCTTAGAAAAGGAAGGTACCTTACAGTACCAAGGTAAGGTAGTTAGGTACCTACCTACCCCAACTACCACCGCTCATTGTGGGGCCGTAACGGCTATGCGGACTGTTCACACCGGGAGGAAGGTGCCTGATGGCTCTGAGAACTTCATTCCCGATTATGGGCCGTACCTTCTTCTCACTTTTGCTCATTTACTTCCTCAAGGTATCTCAAGTATCTTTCTTTAGCAGCAGCTCAAGTTATCAGTATCAACTAAATATTCTTCTTGCTCAAGGTCATCCTGATCTTTCACAACTGTCGGCACCCATTTGGCGCCTTCTCGGACACTTCAGCGCCTAACACCTCACCTCTTTCCAACTTTGAACGACCAATCTATAGTTTCATAATCACATGGCCCTCTTACTGAACCTTCCACTCATCCTCCGACAGCCTGCCTCAGCTATCCTCAAGGTTCTAGCCTTACGCTCAGTATGTATTCTATCTTCAGCATGAAAATTAATGCAATCACCTTTATTCCCAAGTTCGCCATCGTTCAGCACGCTAACTCTATTCTCTACGCACCTCTCAAGAACTTCCACACTTGACACGCTTTACCAGAAAAGATTTCTCCCTACTTACGAACGAAAACTGACTAACAACCTCGTCGTTGACTTTTCTCCTTACTTCCATTCACCAGCCGTTATCGATTTCACCATGGCTGCCTCTGGCCAACATGCTGTCGGAGAGGTCTGCTACAGTCCTGGGCTGAATGTTTTCAACGACGGTCTGAACTACGCCGATTCTCCCCCGCGAAGCATGATCATTCAAGTGTCCGCGTTTCAGGATCGAGTTGTATCACAACTCAACGCCATGCCGGCCATACGCTGGCTCGACCTCGAGGACAGCTGGAGATTGCCAAGGCCCAATGAAGTGTACACCGGAGGTCAAAAAGACCATCTAAGTGGCCTTTGGATTGGGTGGTTTCTCCCCGATTTCCAGATCCTTGACGACAGTCATCCACATTCCAGCCGTTGGCCTTCCTTGTCCCCAAAACAGTGCGTGAACAATCATACGACACACCCATCCCCTCGTCCCTTCATCAGAAAGGCCTTCAAGGTTGTTTATAAACCAGGTCGGGGGGGGGACACCAAATTCTTTGCCCTCTGTACCCCGGATGCAAATGATATCTGTCAGGCCAAGGTGGTTCCAGCTGGTGCACGGAACATATTCTTCTTCAAAGAGTGGAGAGATGACGCTGTTCGCGGTAGTTGGGCTCGCCAGAGAACGTGGACGACCAATGCCAAGGCCGGAGCATCCAGGATCTACTCAATGATTAACGCCGCTACCAATCAACCAGTTCACAGCCAGCAACGTACCTCTGAGTCCGATTATGAACATTGCCTCGAGGAAGAAGATGAAGAAGATGATGACGATGGAGAAGATGAAGAATCCGAGTATGCGGATTCCGAGATTGAAGGATCTGGATCTGAAGAAGAAAACTCGGAAGAAGACTTTGAACAAGAAAGACTACTGGAGTCCCTGCGCCCGAGTCCACCAGAGTTCGCTTCGAACCCAGAGTCAGAATCGGGCTCTTCAGACGAGGATGAATATCATTTGAATGGTCAAGCGAGTTGTAGAGGGTCCCAGCGCACACCGAAACAAGACATCAAGGCGACTATCTCAGCAAGAATCGCCTCTGAGCCTCGCTCCAACCTACGACGCCGGCCCGCGTCAAGCCGCAGATCAATCCATGTCAGTCATGACCTGCTGTCTCGGCGCAACACGAACCGCCCTGGACCTGCAGACACTCTCGTGGGCAATGTCGCTACAAATCTCAAGAGAAGTCAGAGTCCTATGCAAAGCCTGAGTTCAAAGAGTGAGAAGAAGAGACGCATTAACCTACAAGTCGAGTCTCCTCCTGACTCGACCCCAAAAAGACATGCACCCTTGGGAGTTGACGAGCCGCTCACTAGTCGACCGGAGAGAGCTCAGCCTGCCAGCAGACCATTCATCAAGAACGAAGACACTCAAGACAGCGATGATGAGATTCAGTTCATCAAGGAGGTCCCAACACAGAGACCTCAACAGATGACCACTAAAGTCGAAGCATTTACTGTGGCTTCATCTGAGACAAGCATCACCTACATCAGCAAGTTTGTTGCAGCGGGAAAGCTTCTCCAGCTGGCGCGTCTTCCCGATACTTTCTCTCGAAAGATTATGCTTGAATCCTTCAGCAAGCATTTGAAGTCGACGAACTTGGCACAGTTCGATGCCCTAGTCAAGAACATCGTGGACTCTGCGGAAGAAGGCGTCCGCGTCATGATCGCTGAGACGCTGCAAGAGCAATTGAAGGGCAGATTGCCTGTCGTCAGTGGTGCTTAGGAAGTAGGCACATCATCTTTTAGGGATCGTGGGACCGCGATGAATAATTGGGTCCTGCTAGATTTATCATCATCAATGTCTCGACAAAAAACACAATCCAAGACCCTAAGGACGGCTGAGTGTCTCAAGGCCAGGATGAGCAAGATGATACCCCCATCAGCGCTTGGCTCTGGCACGGATTCGAACAGTAAGCTGGCATTGGGAGAGGAGGGTAACTTACACATGGGAATTAGTTTACGCGAATCAAGATAGAGAGCTGGCCCGCCGCTGATAATGAATTCGAGAGAATTGAAAATTTTTATTACTGTTTATGTCGAAACCCCAGTCCGGCTTAATGTTTCCTGCCTTTCAACAGCAAATGCGTCAACGTGAAACCAATCCTGGATGGACGTCTGGAACCTTTGACGTTTGCACAAGTCGAAGCAGCAAGAAGGCTCTTAGAGAAATTTAAGTTACCCTTTTCAGTCATAAAGCAACGCCTTTACATTCATTGACCTGATCACTCCTCCTTACCATAGTCTCACCAGTTTCCTTCTTGTGCCCCGTATCTGCATGATCGACCAGAAGCCAACTCTGTGACGGACCGGGAACGGGAGCTACCTTTGCCCACAAGTTCAATACGCTTTTCGGTCTTCCATTGCTAAAGGAAAGCGCTGTGGACTCGACTGCCTTTCAAGATTGTTTCTGAGGCATCTACAGAGTCCTTTTCTCCTTCCTTCTGTACCTCTGGCAACTTGTTACCTACATACTCTTCCATCCTCTGCAGCCCGTATTCTTCTCTCCAACTTCACTCGATTGGGAATCAAATCCTATTCCCTCCTTTCAACGAGACTGCCAGAAGCTTCAAGAATGGCAGAAAGTAGCGGAAAGGCGCCCAAGGTAGCCGACAAATACGCCTGCGCTCCCCCAGCATATCTCATTCCTAATTTCCAGCGAGAATGGTCAGACTTGGCCGCCAAGCTCTTCAACACCGACGCTTCGGACATTCTATTGACGTCTGAAGAAAAGAAACAAGCCCTAGCACTGATCGCCATCCCCATCACTAGTTCGTCCTTCGGGAACAAGTCCAGAGCCCAGGCCCTCCACAGAACGGTCAGCCAAGCGCGGGAGATGGGACAGGGCAAGCGACCTCCTGCAAATGTTACAATTATTGCAGCTCTCCTCATCTACACGCTGGAGCCTCCGCTGACTTGGTGGGAATGGGTGACCATGCAGCAACCACTTGGTGTTCTGCGATATATTCGGGACTGTGCTGATGGCCTCAGTATTTACTCGTCGGAGGGTATGTTAAAGGCAGCATTGGCACATTCTCCGGCTGCATCCACCCAAGATCATTCAGACAGCTTGTTCATTGTCGACAAGCCTTCGTTGAAGGAAGCCAACGCCAAGAAATCCAGCACCGAACATTTGGAACCTGCTCAGCTCAACTCAGATCGCCCAGCTCTACCGGCTCTGAGACCCTGGACGCGCTCCATGACCAAGTTCACAACACCTTCGCCGCCAAGCGAGAAGCGAAAGGCGGAATCTGAGTCCCCTCACGACAAGAAAACTGTACCGAAGAAGAAAGTCGCCAGTCCAAAGAAGAAGGCGGCCACCCCAAAGTGGAAGACGATGGCTGGATCGGGAACCAATCCCATCCCAAAAGCCAAGAACCCCAACGTCAGCTCAAATATGCCAACCAGAAGTGCCATGTCGATAGCTAATCTTCATCCTACTCAATAGACTCGAATTACTGAAGCTGTGAAGCGACAGCAGCCGATCGATAATGCCTTGTTGGCCAGATACATGAAAAGCGCCCCCATGCTTGACAGAATTGCAGATTACAATGACAGATCCGTCCGTCGAGTTGCTCTTGGCAGTTTTCTCAAAGACTTGAAGAGCTCCGGCTGATCTGGAGAAATGTACCTGGCAGCTCATCAAGGACGACGACTATGAGTCTCGCGCGTTTCTCGCAGAGGCTATTATGAACGACGTCTATAAGCGCATCAATGAGTTTTTCGAAGACGTCCCGCAGCCCCCGCAGCTCGAAGATGCCACACATCAACCCGCGCAACGGCCCACGGAAGCCAAGCAGACCGCAAAACTCAGTCTGGATGAGCAACCTATGGATACACCAACGAAGCAGAGAAGCCGGTCCGGGCCCAAGCATGGTAAGAAGTCAATTCAGACCAAGAAGCGTACCACAGAGATAAGGAGGCCCAAAATGAACACGTTGGATGCGCATAACACACCTACGAAGCAGGCAAGCCGGCCTTTGAGATTCTCTCCCAGCAGTCGCATGTCAGATGACGTTTTCAACGACACTTCATCTGTATCTGCCGCCTCACCAGCGGCGGGTCGGCGGCACCCCAATTTGGCCTCCCCGCCTCGCTTCAACATTCGAGGAATATTGTCCAAACGACTGAAGTCGAAGGACAATCAGATTTGAGCGGCATCCTTAAGTCCAGTCTTTGAGAACTGGCAACATTGTCCAGTGCTTACTTGCACTTCGAGCCCTGGCGATTGAGGAGGCTTATGATGTACCTGTATTGGGTAGCCGAAAATGGCTACGAGAGGAAGAGGCCCCTGTGTGGACTGGGGGTGAGGATACTGGCATGAGAGAACGTATTGTGGCTAACGAGTGTATGCTTTGAGAAGGATGAGATTGCTGGTAGTATGGGGATCATCATGTCACCATGTCGCCGTGTCGCTTTAGCCAGCTTGATGTAAGATAAATAACGATTAAATCAAGAACCACAGTGAGTTGGGCCTTTGACTGTGACTGACTTCGATATCACGTCTGAGGACACCGCCAGAGACAGACTTTTGGCGCGGAAGCCGAGAGCACGCAGTCTCAACAAAAAAGCTACGAGTTTAAAATTTCCGTTGGTGACAGATGAGATGAGAAGTTTGTACGTTTGGCACCAGATCTCGCACCTGAAAATACCCCCCTCGATCGAAGTGTTGTTTCTTTACATGTGAGCTGAGCCTTTCATGAGTGAGACGTTGCTTTGCTGATGTAATCAACCACCGTAATTTGTTTCGGCTTGCTCTTCATTGGCCACCTCCACAGGATGTGTGGGGCATGACTGCCTGAAAGTCACTGGACTTCGCGACACCCGTCGCCACTTTCCTGACGCGCTCTCCCATTTAGCGGCGATCCCTCCCGCCGAGTCGTGACGCCGTCAACGAGGGTCCTTCCCCCCTCGTCGATCCGACATGACTCTCGCCTACCTTTGCAATGTCTTCCTCCTTTTCGCTTGATTCAGACGATGAATATGGCTACGATCTTTCTTTGGAGGATGAGACGTTGCTGAGCCAGCTCATCACTGATAACCCCGCCCCCACCTCAACCTCATCGCGGAACCCCGCCGCTCCATCGATCGCTTCAGACTTTGGCATTGACACCGTCGCCGAGCAAGAATTTTGCCTTGACGATGCTCCCACGGATCTTCTCTCATATCGCACGACTGGCACAGCCAAGGGCTCTGTACGACCTAGCCGGAGTCGCTCAAAGGCGACCCTTACCGACGATACGAAGCAGGCAGATCTTCCCTCGGCGTCACCTGGCCACTCCGTCGCCTATCCGGATTGTGAGTGTTACTTTGCGAGGCAAGCTTCTGCTCAAACTGACTGACGTGAAAGCGCTTAGTGAGCAGGGCCCTTTCGAATAACAATATTGCTCCCTCATCACCAAAGCCGAACGAGAAAGCCACCCCTGATCCCGAGAATGATGCCCGATCGCCGCTTGTACGATTCCGATCGTATCCCCGGAAGCCATTCACCGTCACCGACTTGACCTCGGGTGCTTGGTGCGAACTACAATACTTCTATACCCTCACCCGCCTACCATATGGTCGGAAGACCCGGACAGCGGCGATGAAGCAGGGAACAAAGGTACACCAAGACCTCGAAGACGAAGTACATACAACGGTCCGCGTCGAGATCGCGAGTAAAGAAGATGGCTTTGGTCTCCGGATGTGGAACCTCATTCAGGGACTTCGAACACTCCGTGAGACCGGCATGACCCGTGAGCTTGAAGTATGGGGATTCGCCGACGGAAATCTGGTCAATGGCGTCATCGACGGTCTGAGCTATGAGAATCCGGACCCGGAGTTCATGGAACAGCTGAGCCAGGAGTCTGAGCAGAATCAGTCCAGCATAACCGACTACTTCCCTTCAAAGAAGCAGGCGAACATACCTCAGATATACCTGACGGATGTGAAGACGCGTGGGTCTATGAAGGCGCCCAACAGCCCCGCGTTACTACGGCCGGCAAAGGTGCAGCTCTTCCTATACCAGCGTTTCCTATCAGAAATGGCAGCGGACAAGCTGGACTACCTTCGTATTTTCCGGCGGTACGGTCTGGACCCGGACGAGCCGTTCTCCGATTCATTCATTGCCCAGATTGGTAGCCTGCACGACGAATTGTTCTTCGACATGGATTCCTCCCCTGACGAGGACTACATCCCGCTGTCTCCCACTACAGCAACGGTCGATGCCGAAGCTGATGACGCAAACCTCAATTCGTCGGCGCCGGACTTCATCAAGTACAGAACACTGAGGGAATTGCTCCCTCTTCTCGTATCAGAGTTGCGCCAAACCTTCCCCCATGGCGCCGACTCCGTGGGTCGGCTTCTCACTGTGGAGTACAGGTACCGCGGAGACGGTTCGCTCATTGATAGCCAGGTCTTCCCAATGGATGATCGGGCGCTGAACCTCTACTTGGGTAACACGATGGAGTGGTGGCGAGCGGACCGTCAACCGCGGGGTGTGCAGATTGAGGAGGCGTACAAGTGTCGAATGTGTGAGTTTGTGGGCGACTGCACATGGCGGTCTGCCATGGATGAGGAGAGACTGCAGAGTACTAGACAGCGTTTGGCAGGCAGGAGTAAGCATAATACAAGTGGGTGATATTGCGATATCGCTTCCGTTTTGCGTCTGAGATGGCACTTTCTTCTTTGCGAGGCGCATTCTTCGGCTAGGGCCCACATTACACGGGATTCAAGAATCAGGATAGCTTATGAATATGAGTTGATGATCTACATATCAAAGCAACATGTGTCTCTTGCTTCTCTGAAAGATGGTCTGCAACACGGGTCTACTTTCGACCTAGCCTTGTGACTTTCTCAATAGAATCCTACTGATCCTTTTCCAATAAACGCGAAGGCACTGGGGCCCAGGCCGCCGCCTTTCCGAGTCCTTCAGTTAGTAAATCGGTGAATGTCTTGGTGATGTTGAAATTAATTCACTCTTCAGTACCTGAGGCCCACCCCTCGCGCCAGACCTCCTTTCTCAAACAGTGGGATTCAAGAGAAGGCAAGAACACTAGTGCCTTCCTCCTTCTTCGGCACCGCGAGGCTTGACCTTCGTCCACAATTTCCTCCCACACAATAGTCTTCAAGGCAGGCTTCCGTATCTCGGGGAGCGGTCTCCTGGTCTTCTCTTGACTTTGCTAGCCACTCCCTTCTACATCAAAACTTCCCCATTCCAACCCCAACAACACCGACGATGGGCTCTAAGGAGGGAACAAACCCCAAGGTCCTAGAGCTTGTGAGCTCTATCGAGAACAAGCCGTCTTGCGAGAACTATGAGCGCATGGTCTCGGGCATGGTGTACGACCCTCTTGAGCCTATCCTCAACCAAGGCCGCCACAGAGCCCGCTGCCTCGCGCGCGACTTCAACGAGATCGACCACCGCCAGAACACCCTCCAGGAGGTGGGCAAGAAGAAGGAAGAGATTCTGCAGCACCTTCTGGACAAATTCGGCGAACAGTCATTCATCGAGGCCCCTTTATTAGTCGATTACGGCTGCAACGTCATCTTTAACTCCAAGTCCTTTGCCAACTTCAAGTATGTCTTACCCACCTGATCGTATGAATGCTATGAAGAAAAAAGAGTGTGTTCTAACGAATACGTGCAGCCTGACTATTCTCGACGTCAGCCTCGTCACCATTGGCGACCGTCTTCAAATTGGTCTCAATGTCAGCATCTACAGCGCGGCCCACGATACGAGCATTGTTTCCCGAATGAAATTCAGGAATATGGTCTTCCGGTGACCATTGAAGACGATTGGTGGATTGGTGGCGGTACAATCATCCTGGCTGGCGTGACCATTGGATCGGGAACGACTGTAGGTGCTGGCTCAATCGTGACAAAGAGCTTGCCGCCTCATTCGGCGGCGGTGGGCAACCCTGCCAGGGTCACCAAGAAGGTGCAAGCACTGGGGGAGGAGATAGCGATTTCGAACAAAAGCATCAAAGAGTAAACTGATCAGGAGACTTATTGGCGGCATAAAGAGGCGCAAAGTCAAGAGTGGTGACACAGAATCGCTTTGCTGCCGAAGGGGCATTTATATGTTCCGGTATTTGATGGTGATACAGAGTCATCTAGATCATAGCAATGAAAGGAAGTTTGCCTAAACGAGTAGACCCCAACGACGTGATAACTCAACGCATAAATGGCTCTTCCTTGTTAACGAACAGTCATTTGCAAATCTCAACGTGTATCTTGAGATCTTCTTGGTTCAAAAATTATCTCTAAGCGCAATTATTGACATGAAAACCCTCTCCTAAAGCAACAGAAGCATGAACATTTTAGTATAAGAATGTATGCATTGATTCCTTTAGTAAGGCTCTTCTGCTTGATCAACACCATCGCCACTTCAAAGTCGCACCCAGAAAGGCCAGCACTCAATACTTTCACTTCACTCCCATTGGAAATTCAGAACATGGAGTTCGCAATTTATGAGCCCCGTATACCTTCAGCTGAGCAGATCAATAAGCACGCCACTGTCAGCCAGCGTCTCGATGAGTACGAAAAACTCCTTAAGGAACAGGTCACCAAGATCATTGAGAGAAAAAATGAAGAAGTCAAGGATTGGTTGGCATTCTCTTGTAAAGCGGAAGCCTACGGAAGACTCGAAGCTGATTGCAGCATCCTCCGCACTTCTCGGCACTGGGCCATCCGAGACAAATTTTTGAAGCACAGACTGACGACCCTGGACCTAGACGAATACTTCAACCGCATGGGACACCTCGATCATTTCCTGGCAATTCTGCGCCTGCAGCACTCTGATTTCGTCTTCAAAATCTCCGATGCCCTCCTTGACGACAACAACCCAAATCCCTTTTCGGATGAATCTCAGAGGGCCACAGTGACAAGGCTCAAGGACATCTTTCTGACCTGGAAACCTGTCAACAAGGTACCCGATATTATGAAATTGGCGGAGGAATACGAGATTGAGGTTCCAGATGTTAATGATGAGAAGGCGTGGGAGAGAGAGCGGGAGTTACTGCTAAGAATTGTAGCTTTCCAGAAACATTATGATAAGAAGAGAGAAGAGGACAGACGAGAAAATGCCAGGAAGCGATTGGAAGAGGAGCGAAAACAGCAAGGGTCGTCCGCTTGAGTTGTCAAACGTAAGCTCGCGTCCACGACTCAAGCTGCTCGTCGAGCTGAGGTGCCTCGTTAGCCTAGAAGTCACGAAGCCTTAGCGTGCGTCCCCAGTTCTCAACCTGTCATACGGCTCCCCAATAAACCCCATTCTACAAGTCACCTTCCTCAAATTGACTCCTATTTTTCTCGCCTTCTTTTCAGATCCCACTTTGCTCTTTGCTCTTGTCTCTTCCAATCATTTTGGACTGACTTTATTTCAGTTATCTCTGCTCACTAATATTGAAAATCCACCAGGCATAGATAGATTGTTTGTTACTGCTGTTGTAAGATGATTTCCCAGACGCACGGTCAACGAATTACTATGAGCAGGCATATCGTATCGATTAGATGAGCGTTCGATCCCCTTGACCAAGGAAGAAACTATGGTTTCTTCCATGAGCCTGCCTGAGCCTCGATAAGGCGCTCAAGATACTCCTCCTCGCAAAGAGTCCGACGCCTGCTGACAACGTGGAAAACTAGTTCTGCGACCAAGTCCCGGTTCCAGATACCGAGGACGCAGGGCTGATTGGTCGATCGAATTGGCCAGTGAGCTTGGTTCCATTGGCAACTTCGAGCGTGATGGATTGAGTTCCGACCGTGCCATCAAAATCACGATTGCTAGTCAAACTCCCAAGTGACTCATATTCCAGAGTCGCTTCGTTGGATGTGAAGTCTGGAACGGCCGGGCTGATGGTTCCACTGAAGTGGTACTGAACATCATCGATAAGGAATGTCGAAGTGAATTTGCGTCCTCCGGCAACACCCTTAATGTATCCTCGTGCGGAAGGCATCTGGAGATGCCAAATTAGTGTTGATCTGATTCATCATTGATGTTAGTCGGGCACGTACCTTTGCGTATGAGAATTAAAGCTGATGTGGGAATCTCGATAGACGATGTAATTTAGACATGATGAGAGTGTGGGATGAATCAGTGAAGATGGGATCGTATCGCTGTCCAAATATCTCCTTTTTATAATTTTTCAACAGTCTCTATTTACTGGCCGGCTCGGCCTGAATGAACTTAATCGTGATATTAGACAGTATGTACGGCTTGAAAGGATCATCCCTTGTGCAGGCTTCTCAAGCAAGCAGCACTGTCTAACTTGGATATGTGGACGCCGATCAACTGCTAGTACTAGCTCGCATCTGGTCACATCTTTCACTGCACATTCGTGTAAACGCAAAAGAGCTAAAGCTGAACTGAAACAGATCACTCCACTTAGCAAACATCGTAAACGACACCAATCAAGTGCAGCATTCTATCGTAGGCGCTTGAAAATCAAATTCTCAACACTTTCTGTTCGCCTTGAAGGCTGTCAGTATGTCAACTTGATTCTATGCTCACTGTTTAATTGAATCTTGGCCTTTCTGGTCTACCTATGCAGATGACAGGTGTTGCTTCAACATACACCGCCTTTGACACCTTGCCTAATGAGTGTGGGCTGCCGTTGCGGTATCTTCTAAGTGAGACTATCCCTATATAGGAAGTTTCGGTGAACAATCAGACAGTCCAAAGGGCACCAATGCGGAGACAGTCAGAAACCTCGTTAACTACCTACCATGCCTTGGTGAGATTTGATTTTCGCCTTCATCACATCAACTATGGTGCCTGATGCGTGCAGCATGGCCAAGGAAAACGAGTAGAATAGCCATTACGTATGGCAGTGTGTTTACAGCAGCCCAAGGTGGCTGGTGAGGGCTCACGCTTGAAAATATTTTGACTGCGTAAGCAGAAATCTCAACATCACAGATATGACTGTTGACTGGATGCAATCATTTGCTGTTGCAGGTCTGACTTGATCAGTCGCCACTCCATGGTCGAATGGCGTCATCGCCATGTCGAGTTCAAGGTGTGTATTCTGGCTATGCTGCCACAGATGCTAGCAGTGTCTCAGCCATAATGACACCAAATAGAGTGTCGGTGTGTAACTTTCTCTGCCGGGTAAGCTGATCACTCGTGCACAATACATGCCATATCGAAGTGGCTTTTGCTTGCTTGGGAATGACGTATTTTTGATACCTTTGTCAAAATCCTAGATACGGCCTAACCAACAGAGTCACGTTGTGATCAGTTGCAGAGTATTAGCAGCCCCGAGAGAACTCCTCAGCTGGGACTTGCAGGATTGAGTCAAACTTGCAGCAGTGATCCAATTATTCTAGAAAGAAACTATGCACCGGGCGGTTGTCTCTGGGAAATGCATGTGCATTTACCGACCTGCAAAATCACTGGCGATATTGACTGCAAGAGCTTCATTGACGTGTCTATTTGAAGATGAAAGATTGACTGCCTGCAGTCAGATTAAAATTGGCAGCTTAGAAGGAAAACTGGTTTCGAGATTTCAGAAGGTTTTGCCGCTACTTCTACACACTGATTTTGAATACCACACAACCCTCCCCCCTCTCCCCTTTACAAGATATATCTCTCAGGGGTATGAGGTAGTGCTAGTTCACACAAGCTATGACATGTACTCACTCGCTTTCTTACCAAAATGGCTCCCTGATTTTACTCGTAACACTATTGTGTATCCCCTTGACACGGAGATCTTCGTGATAAAGATGTTTGGTTACATCGGATGGAAAGAGGAATGGGGGCTCCTTTTCAACGTAGATACCTGAGACTGGGAGTGCCGTTGGTACTTTGGTGGCAAGAGTAATTTGCTGTCAGGGCGGATCCAGGCAGCCGACGGAGTCATGGCATCGTTGACAAGGCCATGAAAAACTACCACGGCGGTCGCCAGACAAGCTTTGAGAATGAGAAGATGGCGTGGTCTGTCAGCCGAATTTGCGAAATAAATGACTAGTTTGGGAGTAGTCTTTCGCGATGTCGATGGTCGAGCTATGGACGTTGCATGATGTTTGCGTCGGGTGGGACAAGCTACAAAGTCTGCGATGGGGTTGACGAGTAACCAACAGCAGATAAGGGCATGCGTCGACAGCAAATGAGCTCAGTAAGGATAAGAATTCGCTATCTCGAAATAGAATATTCAATTGTTTGCTCTTTTGACAAGGTCAGTCAATGAGCCAGAGTCGCTAACAATCCGTCTGGTGTCATCCAACCAATTGGCAGTGGCCATGTTATAACCAACTGAGCTTTGCTGTCATGATATGCTCTTTGGGGATATTGCTCCTTGCCAACGACAGGGTCCAGAGCGATGTTGCCCCGCAGCTGTGCCGCAATGATTGTTAAGCGAGACAGGCCGATGGGATTGAGAAGGTTGTATTTAGAAAGGCCACGTTCCACATGATCGGGAGCGATATAGTGAGGGGTACGGAGTAGTCTGCCTTCTTTACCTTGGAAAACCGCCATCCACTAAAGCTTTGGCTATTGCTATCTCGATTGCAAGTCGGTCTTGAGTCAGGACTTCACAGGAGCGCCTGAATCCACCGAAGCCTAGTAAACGGTGTTCAATAAAGCCGAGATCATGCAGGAGTCTCAGAATGTAAGAAAAGCATGAACAGGGTTGTTATTTGTGGATCCCTGAGTTGTATGCTGATGAGATTTTGGATGAGTAGCCAGCCACGCCAGCGGATGGCCCGACATCGGAATATGGAGATGATGTGAGTCTTGTTGTTGCATTGCATTAGCAGTGACACATGAATTAACAATTGCCTGACATTCCGACAGCATTCCGAGCATTCGTCGCTAGCCTCTCTGAGATCGAGTATCCTCGAGCATCAAGCTGAGAATGGACGGACGTATCATTCCATGAGCTCGGGAAGTATGTATTCCCATCATTCAAGCTCTGCGAAAGCATATCCTAATGTCTTGAGCAGAGTATAGCTTCCCCAATGATGAGGTGAGCAACACATTGATCCTGGGTCTGATGCTATTCTAACACAAATATGGCTGAAGCCTGAGAATGACCGTCTTGGTGAGCGACTGCTTCGTCTTTATGGCCTTGGACGCAAGATTCCTGCGAGTTGCTAATCGACCCTAGATTTGCAACATCGAATCTGGCTGCTACAGCTCGAGGAACAGTTAGCCCTGTGTCCTGCGCACAGAACCGCAAAACGGGTGTTGGATATGGGAACCGGAACCGGAATCTGGGCCATTGATTTCGGGTCGTCATGCTCAATTATGAAATCACGGTTTTGTGCCACTGACACGTCGCTTTAGCGGATAAATTTTTGCATGCAGAGGTTGGAAGATAAGTTTCCGAGGCAACTGGATGATAAAGTCTGACATTCAGTAGGTCATTGGCGTTGACCTGAGCCCCATTCAGCCTGAGTGGTATGTTGACGTTCTTCAAATCAACTGCGTTAGCATCTTACTTATCATTGGTTTAGGGCGCCTCCGAACTGTGTGTTCGAGGTCGACGACTTAGAAAAGCCATGGACCTGGACCAAGCCCTTTGATTTCATCTACTGCAGAAGTATGGACGGCGCATTTGCGAACAAGGAAAGTATGATTAAGAAGATTTACAAGTAAGATAACTCTTCTTACCCAATGCGCTGGTTCTTGCGCTTTTGCTGAATATCACGCCTGTCTCACGTAGTGGCTTGACTCCGGGAGGTCATCTTGAAGTCGCGGGACTCGAATTACCGCCTGGTTGCGACGATGCTTCGGTTCCCGAGGACTCTGACTTGTGGAAGTGGCACGAGCTGCTACAAGAAGCCGCGACAAAGATCGGACGGCCGCTGGAGAGTCTGGCCCACAACAAGGCGGACCTAGAGAACGCTGGCTTTATCAACATTGTCCGTAAAGACTACAAGCTACCTCTCAACACCTGGCCTGCGGATCCCCATCTGAAAAATCTCGGAAAGTGGCAATTTGTCAACCTCAATCTCGGTCTCGAGGGGCTGTCCCTTGCTCTTCTGACCCGTGTTTTGGAATGGTCCAGGGAAGAGGTGCTTGCCCTATGTGCAGACGTTCGGAGAGATCTGAAGGATAAGAGAATGCACGCTTATTGGAAAATGTAAGGTCACGCCTCGCATTCTGCTGTGGGCTTTTCATGCTAACATTTTCAGTCACGTTGTCTATGCGCAAAAGCCCGAGGATGCCTCTCCTTCTGAGCAGTCGCAGGAGTGATGGGAAATGGCAGTCATTGAAGATAGCACATGAAATTCAAGCTGTTTATGCAATGAGCTTGGACAAATTCTGCGTAATGTTCTGAGCTACTGAAAAGATTAAATACCTACACGTTCCTTTGACCTCAGTCCTAAAAAGTGCATGAGAAGACACCATACTCAGAGTGATCCCACGACAGCTCTATGATCCTACTCGATCAAAGAATGTCGTCAAAATTAAGTAAATGATACATCCCACCGGTGCCCGGTATCCGGGCAATAGAGAGAGCCACACCCGTCCCCGGACAGCGGCCTTGTTGGTAAATCGGCGCGGCGTGCGGCAGGGCCGATACCCACATCCCGGCAGTGGCCGGACGTGTGGAGGCACTATCCGTAGGGTAAACTTAAAGCGGGCTTGGCAACCTTTACCTTAAGCTAAGCCTCGGGTTCGGGTTAGTCGGTGTTACGACAGGGATAAGGAGGCCGTCTGCCGTCCCCGCAAAGCTCTCTATCTGATCCCAACCCCATTCCTGAACTTCCCCTTTTACACACGAACACTTACGCGTCTCACTGGCTAAGAGGGCTCGCATTAGCCCCATAAGAGAGAGATCTTTTTGCCTCTCTTCCCCATCATGACTGGGGCCGCACAACATTTTCTAATTGCCAGCCAGCTCAGCCAAGCGCCCCCCCAAACGACCTTTCGTCTCTAATTCATTTACCTTTACCTTTTACTCCGTATCCCCGTCTCTATCCGCACCTTATTCTTTGCTCCTCGCTCTGGCCCCGTTCTGACTGATTTCTTGTTCATCTGAGCTCAACTAGTGCCAAGGTACCCGCGTATTACCAACCAAACACACACGCCTACCCACGTGCTCACAGGCTCACACAAACATACCCTCGTCTACTGTCATCGTTTGATTGTCGGTGAGACAGTAACACTATTAAAACATACCTTCGGACTTTGCCCCACTTTCTCAAAGGAAAACAATCAACGGGAACGGCAAATAACTACGGGATAATCGAACGCTGGAGCTCATCGCCATCTCGCATACTATTACCACGACATGCCGCCCCGGAAGGGTAGTCCCAAGGTGAAGACGGGATGTCGGACATGCAAGTGGGTTTTGCCTTTTCCCCTCAGTGGCTTGCTGGAATCAGATCCTTCCGAACCTTTATCTTTCATTATTCCTCAAATGGCGAAAAGGAGAAAATCTTGCTTGGGAGGCCTTGGCTGACTCTGGGATGATAACCAACTAGAGCTCGAAAGGTCAAGTGCGACGAGACCAAGCCCAAATGCATGCGATGCACATCGAGTGGCCGGCAGTGCGCCGGCTACGAGCCGACGCTCGAACACGGCCTATCGTGGTATCGGCCTCAGCAGCTAACCGCTCACGACCAGCGTGAGGGCAGAGCCTTCCAGTTCTTTTCTCACATGGTCGGGCCCGTCTTGTCGGGTCCGATGGACACGTACTTTTGGACGCACCTAGTTGTACAGTTCAGCCACTTTGAGCCCGCCGTGCGTCATGCCGTCCTGGCCATCAGCTCTCTGTACGAGGATTTCCACGACGGCGCCCGTGTCACGAGACAGAAGCCCGGAAACGATTTCGCGTTGAGTCACTACAGCGCGGCTATCCAGAGGATCAAATCCGCGCAGGATGAGCAGCTCGTGTTGCTGGTGTGTATCCTCTTCATCTGCATCGAGTACCTCCAGGGCGACGTCGAGGCCGCGCTCCGGCACTGCAAGCACGGTATCATGATCCTCAACCGGGTGGGCTGCTCTTCGTGGGCGCACGACTATCTGATGCCGATATTCCGGCGACTGAGCTTTGCCTCGTTCTTTCTAGGAATAAAACCGTCCGCAGACGCTGCGGTACCGGGTCTGTTAGGATTCGAAGTTCCGATACCAGACAAGATCGAGAGTCTGGGGGAAGCACAGAGCGCGATCGACGACTTGATGATCCACGCCATCCGATTTGTATCTGGCGAACCAACAGCCTTCGATCGGCAGGATCTCGAGACGCGGTTAGGCCAGTTCCATGAAAAGCTCACCGAGTTTGACGACTCGTTACCCCAGACAGAATCGGCGGCAAAGGTCGCGATTTGCAGCATGTTGATGAGATTTGAGATGGCCAAGATACAGATAGATACGATTGGTGGCAAGAAGGAGACAAGATTCGACAAGCATGTCGAGGGTTTCCGCAGAACGATAGAGCTGGCAAGGCGAGCGTCACATCTGAGGAAGTCGTATCCCGACGACCGTCCGCACGCCAGCTTCACATTCGAGAGCGGTTTCCTATCACCAATGTCTTTCGTATCCAACAAATGTCGAGACCTGAAATTGAGGCTGGAAGCGTTGGAGTTTATGGTTGAGCTCGCCGCGCCGAAAGAAGGCTTTACGGACGTTGGCACCTTGTACAGGATCGGCCGGCGAAGCATCGAGGTCGAACATGGGATATCTTTGATCGACGGCACGATTGAAAAGGATCCAGTCGCGCTCGCGAAGTTCTCCTTCCCTCCTGAAGAGAACAGGATGTTTGCCGCACCAATAGATCACGAGTTGTACGTGATCAAGAATGAGGATGGAACAACCACGTACCGGAGAAATGTGTCATTTTTGAGGAGAGACGCCGAGGGAACGGTCAGTTCCAGGCAAGAGTACATCACGGATCAGATATCGGGAATGGTATCGCAAAATGTACCATGTATGAGGTGTGCAAAGTCTATGTAGCACTACAACGATAACGAATGAGATTCCCCTTTGCCCTTCTTGGCAAGCTTGCATTTACTGGCCCGAAGGAATAAACATGAACAAGGAACTTTTAGACTTGCATGCGTGTCCCGCGTTGGATCTGAGTAGCATCCACCTTCGGCATCCCACATGCCCCCGGGACAGCTCCATAGCCAGATCTGAGTTTATTTGACAGCGTCTCCATATGCGAAGATCGGTCAACGATCCACCAGAAACGTGTTTGTGAGGTTGATTCTAGGTTTTAGGCAGTTTTCGGCGTTCGCCTAAGAGAAACCCCAGATTCTGTGCTTGTGTTTGTGAGCATGAGTAGCGTACGAATCAACTTACGCGTGAAACACGCCGAGATTTCGGCCGAGCCAAAACTGCCTCGCTCGGAGATCAGGCTTGCGTGGGCTTCACCCTCCTGATGATGAATCAAAGAACTGGAAGGATACCACCTCCCCTTTAGAAACACCCATGATCACCCTCGTGAGACCTTCTAGCTTCAGCAATGTCATCGTCCACCATGGCCTAGCTGCCGAGAGGCTGGTGCCGTAGCTCCAGTCCCAGAGTGGCGATGGGGGTGATCCGAACGCCGCTAAAGCGGCACTTGAGCCGTGCCACACGTTCACATCACCCTCCTCCACGCCTCCGGTCTTGCTCCACTGTGGGGCAAGACCGAGAGGAATAAAAGCCGGGCGATCGCCGGCTCGCTTTTGCTCCACGGTACTCCGGCCAGCGCCCCCCTATCAGAGCGGCCTTTTCGTCCTTTGCACGAGTCCAACGTCGTACTGTTGTTTCGACAGACGCTCAAACTGACGAGATTCCAGGAGCGAACCACTATGGCAGGTCCGGGCAGATGGAAGGGAAGCTCGGCTTTTCCGTATGGCAGAGGGGACAAAAGGGGCCCATCTAACAAACAATGGTCATATATCATGAAGAACATTTCCCCATACGATACCCGACATGTAGTCGAAGTCACGGGCATTCCCAGTTCTGTCTCTCGTTGTGGATAAAAGAGAGAGAAATCGTTACTCACCCAGAACGTTCGTCAACATGCCTTCCCCTATTTGGGCCCTCGCGGCCGCAGTCGCTCCGGCTTTCGTCAACGCCGCAACCCTCGCCGACGTCTGTACGACTGCCCACGCGCAAGAAGCTCTCCCCGCGAGCGGCTTCATCCCCGGCATCACCATCGACGCGTCCTCCGTCGTGACCTCGGTGGTCAGCAACGCCTCCGTCTCCTCCGAGTGGTATCCCTCTGCCACCATCGAGTACTGCAACGTCACCTTCGCCTACTCCCACGACGGCCTCACCGGCGACAAGGTTCACGTAACATACTGGGTGCCCTCTCCCGACACCTTCCAAAACCGCTATGTCTCGACTGGCGGTGGTGGCCTGGCCATCAACTCTGGAAGCCAGTATATCCCCACGGGTATCATCGTGGGCGCCGTGTCTGGCATCACAGATGGTGGCTTTGGGGACTTCAACACGCAGTGGGACGCTGTCTTCCTCGCGGCAAATGGTACTGTCAACTGGCAGTCCGTCTATATGTTTGGGTACCAGGCACACAATGAGCTGGCTACGCTGGGCAAGGAGTTCACCAAGAAGTTCTACAGTGTTGCCGCCGACCAGAAGATCTACTCTTACTACCAAGGCTGCTCGGAGGGAGGCCGTGAGGGGTGGAGTCAGGCACAGCGGTTCGCAGACCAGTTTGACGGTCTTGCCATTGGTGCGCCTGCTTTCAGATGTAAGTAACAATTCCAACGTTGTCTGTTTTTCCTATGGTACTGACAATCGCCTAAGATGGACAGCAGCAGGTCAACCATTTGACGGCCAACGTCATGGAGCAAACCCGAAACTACTTCCCTCCTAGCTGCGAACTCGAAAAGATCCTCAACATGACCATCGCCGCCTGCGATCCCCTCGATGGCAAGACCGACGGCGTCATCGCCCGCTCCGACCTCTGCAAGAACACATTCGACTTCAACACCACCATCGGACAAGCCTACTCCTGTCCCGCCAAAGCCGCTAGCACCGGCCCCGGCTTCCCTACCCCGGCAAGCCCGGCACAGAACGGTACCGTCACCACCGAGGCCGCGACTTTGGTCAAGGACTACTACGACGGCCTCCACGACTCCACGGGCAAGCGCGTCTACCTTAACTACCAACCCGGTTCAGCATTTTCCGACGCGACGGCCTCCTTTGACGAGGCAACGCAGACCTGGGGCCTGAGCATCTCCGGCCTCGGCGGCGAATGGGTTGCCCGATACCTCCAGCTCCGCGACACCAGCGACCTCGGTACCCTGGCTAACGTTACCGCCGATACTCTTCGTGACTGGATGCTCTACGGCATGAACAAGTACGCCGACTCGCTGCAGACGACGCACCCGGACCTCAGCGGAATCCAGTCCGCTGGTGGCAAGATCCTGCACATCCACGGCGAGCAGGACGATTCCATCCCCGCCGCCTCGTCGGTCCACTATTACGAGTCTGTGCGGAGCATCATGTTCCCGGGTCAGGGCTTCAACGAGAGCGGTGCAGCCATGGACGAGTTTTACAGGCTGTACCTTGTTCCTGGCGGCGCCCACTGCGGTGCCAACTCGAACCAGCCTGGTGGCGGATGGCCTCAGACGACGCTGCAGACTGTGATCGAGTGGGTTGAGAAGGATGCTGCCCCGGCGACGTTGAACAACACGGGTGTTGGCATCGACACGCTCTGCCGCTGGCCCATGCGGCCTTTGTGGTCTAACGATGGGGCTTCCTTCGATTGTGTTTACGACCAGGCTTCTATTGACAGCTGGATGTACACTTTCGATGCCTTCAAGATGCCCGTCTACTGATTAGCCGCAGACCCGAAGAAGTAGAGGTACATTTGTACAAGGCTTCTGAACTATTCGTGTACATATTTGTTTTGCAGTAACTAGTACAAAGCCGATTAATCTTCATGTCTAAGTAGTGTCGTCCAGGCAGACGTTCCCAATCCAGACTTGAGTTCCTCCAATTGCTGAATGTGGATGGCATGATCCATGAGAGAAAAGTCAAATCCATTATCCTGGATAATCTCCCGGCAATGATCGATGCTAGATCTTGTCCGGTGAAATGAGCCGGTGGGCAGCCGCTCACAATATGGTGAACTGTAAACATTCATCGCCCCCAATATTACCATTCCTTTCTTCCACTTTATACTTTTCTGCCAACGTCAATCTTCTGTTTTCGCGTCCAGTTTTTTAGTGCATCCTTGCAGACAGTTTAAGCGGCATAGCTCTCAGGAACATAATGCTCGAGACTACCCGAATCTAGTCGGCCTTGCGAACGGTGGCACTCGTCGCCTCCAAAGCCTCAAGCTTTGTCGACGCGACCCAACAAGCTTTTTCGGACTGAACAAGTCGTGTGTCTTGCAAATGACAGACTCAGTTTAGATAGAGATCTACGGTCCCCGCAAAGATCGGACCGCATCGACTACTTTGACTCAGTAAACGGCTATGACGGCACCAAATTTAAGTTATCCTAGCTTGAGGAACGTAAGGAGAAAGCCCCTGTAATGTGAATGGCGGCACAGGAAAGGCTGTGTGCACTGGCACCGATCCCACGGTAGCGTGCCTGGGCTTGAATAGCACCGCTGGCCTCATTATCATGAGCCTCAGTCTATGGCGTGCGATATAGGACGTGCCAATGTAGGTCGTATACCGCGATATCAGGGGGAACACAGTCTAGCACAGACCTTGTTTCGGCAAGTGAAGCTTTTGGGAAAACTTTAGCGAATAAATCAGCGTCTGTACTCCCGAAGATCGTCGGCGATCTCGAAAGAACTGATGACATCCTAGATCAGGTCCTAGGAAGATCCCTGCACTAGCCCTCGACAATCGCAGGTTCTCCGTTCATCTGAAAGAGCTTCCAGAAGAGAGATGGAACGTTAGAGAACGTAGGGTAGCAATAGCTTTGACTTCAATCGGTCATTCCTAATCATGTTGACATGATTGTCTGCAAATGTTTCGAGAGAATCTAGATTAGCCCTCTGCCCACTTACTTCGTCTCCATCACGATTGCTTGCTGCCCGTCGCTATGTTGAACCTCTTGTCACTGCTCATAGGGGAATATTTCATTATCATTTCATATTTTTACAAAAAGCGACACAAAGGGAATATGACTTAAGCCCTTCCACCGTCCTTGGTCGTCTCTTCCACAATAGACCACTTCGTCTCGATCGTTATCGCCTGCGCATTCCGGGGCAGCCTCTGCGTCGACTCCGTCTCCGAGATATCATCCTCGTCCGTCCCATTCGACCGCCTCCTCAACTCCCCCCTCCCGATCACCGTCGTCGTAAAGTGCACATCATTCTTGCCGTACATCGTCTCGAGCGGAATTCCGTTCGTCAAGTCCTCCACCAGGTGCTCGTGTTTGCACGATTGGCTATTGCCGCCCAGTCGCGACACGTACTCGTCCGTCTCGAAGCGGCGGTGCTTCCAAAAAGCCCAGAGCGGGAGCAGCATCGGCAGGGAGTTGCAGAGGATGGTGAGGTTCGTTTCAAGGACCGTAAGGAAGGTCGCGACGGGCATGTTGCGGACGACTTGTTCTAAACTGTAGACATCGATCATGATGCGGAGCCTGACGATGGAGGCGATGATGGCACTAGATCGGAAAATGTTAGACAACGACGCTCGTTCATTCAAGACAACGCTTTATCGATCCGCCGCTGTTGATGGAGGGGAACCACAACTCACATGAGATTCAACAAGAACACACCACTCAGCCCCCACCGCGTCGACACGCTGACCTTCTTTAAGCTCCAAATCGTGTAAAGCGGGACCAACATGATGACAGTGTTGGTGATGCAGTTGAACAGCCCTGTCGAGAGGATGCTTGCCTCGTGCTCGCGGCAAATGTCCTTATTCGTCGCGTGCCATCTGCCGTTGGTGATGTGGCAGACCAGCAGAGTCTGAAGGATGTTACCGATGCCCCAGAGAATGACGATGAGGAAGGTCATTTTGGTCGCCAAGCGCATAGGCGGGCTCGTGAAGACGCGGAGGTAGAAGAAGAGAACGCTGAGCTTCGTCGTTAGGCTGACGAAGCCAAAGATGGTATCGGAAGGGAGGAAGAGCTTCGATTTGCCGTCATGATTAGCAACCGATCACATCCGAGTAGGCCCCATAATCTCACAGCGAGTTATGAGATCGAGTTGATAGGGAAACTCACAGAATCCAAAAACGTCCAGTTCGCCTCGACCTGCGAAAGCTCATATCCAAGACCGGCAGACGTCCCTGTAGCCAAGTTTTAGCAACATATTCTCCAGACAACCCATCTTTGAGCCTCCACGGCACAGTTTTGTAGGTTGCTCACAAAGTCCTTGTATCACCAACAAAGCAATCCCCTGAGGAACAGCCAACAACGTAAAGTAGTCATCCCAGCCCAGCCTAGACCCCGCCAGCACACGAGAGACGACCCGAAGCGCAACCACCAACACTGTCACGAAAGCCACCACCGAGTTGGCAATAAGATACGCCGAAGCCTGAGGCACAATAGGCATCTTGGTGTACTGCATGTGGGGAGAATTCTCTCCGTCGTCGTTCGGGATGCCGAAAGGGTGCGATCGCGTCGGTTTGGCCTGAGAGGCTTTTCCTGGTGACTTTGGCGGAGTGCACCGTGCCGGGGGTGGGAAGAGAAAACGAAAAGAAACAGAAGAATTCCGAGAGATTGGGAGGGGCAGAGGAAAAGAGGAATACAGGCCATGTTTAAACTCGAGATACTGCTCCTCGCTTCACTTTGCTTAACCCACTCTATCGCTTTCTCTCTTTCGCTCGCTCTTGCAACAAGCAATGCAAACAGGGATAAGGTCACATTGAGTTTCAACGCATGGGAAAACGCGCCTACGATTCTCGCTCGAAAGGGCAATGACTCGCACTGGGGCGTTATTGTTCCCCCCTCCTCCCCTGATCTCGCTTCCCCCGGGCTATAGAGTGGACACCTGACTGTGCTGACTCGGAAGGGTGGACTGAAAGACAAGAAAAAGACTAGACATATCGTTGAGACCTGCCCAAAGAACCAGTAGAGAAACCCACGATGCTAGGAACGCAATAGCCCGCACATCCACATCCCGACTTGAGGTGGCTTTCCCATTCGCCTCGCTTTCTGAGCCTTGACTCCTTGCGCCCTCCCCTGGCCTAGCGTCGTCCGGGGCCCTTCGCTAATACCGACAATGTCCATACCTAGACTTGTAACTCCACGCTAGACTCTTCAACACAGAATCACATAAATCCTCCTTTCCCCCCTTGTTCGTCACATACCTTACCCGGGGGACGCCATCGCTTTGCAAGTTTGCTCCTAGTGAAGTTGCATCTGTCAAGGTCGCTTAGGTCTTGGTACAGCCGCCCCCTGGCTCGGAGACCTATGCGGCATACCGGGATAGTTTAAGAATTTATGGCTTTCAGCGCGGCACTTGAATGCTGCGCATCCAACCCCAATGGAGGCGAGCTGCGGGATGTGGTGGATCTTCCCCGATGTCACACGTGGGCGCAAAGTTGCACTCGGAACTCTTCGACCATTAAGCGTCGAGAGGAGCACGGAGTACACATGTATAATTGGAAAGAATATGCAACCTGTTATCAGGCTGTTGAAGGAGTTGCTTTTCAGACTTCTTTGCTAAATATGTGATAAGTACGTAATCCTTATGGGCAAAAGTCGAAAACTCGGGCAAGTACACTGCGGATCGTGAGTCAAGCGTCGGGAAGCGGCAGGTCGATCAACAGCAATTACCAAAGACTCAAGCACTTACCTGAATGTGGACATCACCGAGCATCAATGAAAAAGCACATGAATGGTTCGATGCCTGAGCGCTGAGTTGAGCCCGGCTCTCTGGTCTCCATTCCCAAAGAACGAGTTCAATCCAATTGCGGATACCATTTCCATCGTCAGCAAGAAACCCCCACCTAGACCCTTGCAACTAGGGCGCTAGTTGGTTGCAAAATAGAATGGCTGCGCTATTAAGGTTAATTACGTCTATGAACCTAGGGGCTTCGGGCGGGTCTGGCTTTCGTCAACACGAACGCTACGGATAGCAGCGTTCGCTGGCCTTGCCTAAACCGGATGATTGGTGCCGGGGATGGGTCGACGTCAACGTCCTGTCTTGGGAGTTGCTATCCGGACATGGCGATAAGGTTAAGAGAACGCTTTCACGGTTGCGAGACTAGAACTTGGCGCAAAGGTCGCGTCTAGCATGAAGTTACAACCCCCATGTCGCGTTCAATCAAGGTATTCCCAGTCAAAGCACCTAGCATCCACGGAACGAGGAGTTTCTCAACTCTGCCTGATCAAGACTCGAAGTAAGTAAATAGTACAACTTGAACTTTAGTCTAGAATTATGGAATCCATTTACACTTGGTTGACAATATTCAGCCTCAAAGACCAGTAATTCATTCCTTTTGTGGTACGTTAACGCAGTGCTCAAATACGAGCTGTTTGCAACTTGAACAATAGAGCTTTCATATTCCATCATTTCAAGGGTCTGGGTCTTTGGTAAAGCATATTGTCGCTCATTGTCTCCGAGTATCCAACAACAATGATCTTTGAGATAGTGGTTGAAAGGAGCTAAGAGCGTCAGGGCGTGTGAACGGAAAAACAACAATGAATTCAAAAGCGGCAAATCGAGAGCCCTTCTTAAAGCAAGTCACGAGAGTACGATCTTATATCTATCGATCTACATTCCGCCGTCTTAGACTAGTTTGGACTCATCAAAGTCGTCAACTCACACTGCTCACTGCAGTCTACGACTAACCATTCAGACAAGGTAAGTGACTCACCCCCAGCACATAACTAATATCCTCTCTAGACACCTCCACCCATTCCATTCCCACAGCCTCCAAGCTCAACTATGTCCTCCCCATCCCCATCCATAACCTACCCCCCTCGAGGCGTAACAGCCTACACCTCAACCTCCGGTCCCATCCACGCTCCCAACCTCGAAGCCCTCGACCTCCTCCGCGCCCGCCCAGACTACGAATCCTGCATGCCGACCCTAACCTCCCCCGAACTCGCAACAGACTGGGACGCCCACTACCTCCTCCCCAACCCCTACCAGAACCCACCCACCCTCGACTCCGTGACGAACCCCCTCCGCGTCTCCCATGCCGAGATCGACGCAACGTGGGACCCGTATAAACTAGCCGCCATGATCACACGATCCCACCAGGACATGAATATCCTCGACCATACTATCGTCGAGGTGCAGAGAGAAAAGTACGACGTGGACCGCATCCTCGACGACGCGGAGCGCAAGAGGAATGGAGGACGGTACCCAGACTCTTGGACGAGTTACTCTTCGTTTTCCAGACGTGGGTGGAACAGCGATGACTATCGTCGACGTCGGGCAGCAATGTGCAACGAAGACATCACGCCCTCCCGGCAGTCCAGGGCCAACTCAGGATGGGACGTATATAAACTCCGCGAGGTCTTTTCAAGTCTCCAGACTGATATCGGAACCAAGGTAGGTCGACTTGCTAACGTGGAGACAGAGTTGCGTCGCAAAGTGCTTCAACTTAACAGACTTCTGTAAGAGGCATCGAGTGTGCTGAGTTTAGAGCAGGTTTGGTCTCTACCGGAGAAACATGGGAACTAACCTTTGAAGTTTGAGAGCAGGGGTAGGGACCCAGTTACGTTGGAGGAACGTCACCTTCAAGCGCAGAATCGGGGACGGCGGAGGTGCTTAGGTAGGGAAGCACAAGTAGAGAAGAATTTGATTTTGCCAGACTTTCTGTCTGAGACAGAGGCTGGCCTCATACGCCTTATTAATGGCTAACCATGGTATCTATGTGCCCTGAGCAAAATGTGGTATCATAATCTCGTGACCTGTGCAAAGTAACTCCGTGAGCTTTTCCATCCGATGAATCATGATCCCTGTTCATATCCCGAATACCATGTGTAACGGTGCCTCGCCATGTTGCTCTCCATCATTAGACATGCTCGAGCCCCTCATTCCAAATAACGCCACCAAATGCCGCCTACTCAACTGAGTCGAACGTGTACTTTAGTCCTCTTGAATATCCTCCTCGTTGTCCGTCTCGAGGAGGTCCAAGAGACTAGGGTGCGGTTCGCCACAACACGGGCAGATGCCAAGCTCGTCATCGTCGCCCATCATATCCTCAATGTCCTCCATGGGGTAGCCACTGCTGCGGCAGAACTCGGTCCACTGGCGGTCATCACCATCCCCGTCGCGGCTCTTGGGCACCCTCTTCCAGATCGTCAAGTCCCGACGGCTAGGCGCGGACTTGGGATGGCCTGTCTCACGGGGCGCAGGAGGCATGATGGGCTCCTTAGGATGATAGTGGCCTTCATCAGTTTCATTTCCAGGGTCAGAGTCGGAATCACCGTCGTCTTCCCGCTTTGCCTTTATTGTCTTCCAGGCCCGAACAACACGCGCGCAGCTCGAGATGCCCGGCAGAGGCTTCAGGGAGTTTTTGACTTGAACAAACGAGGGCAAGCCAGCAAGAAAGAGGCCCTCGTCGCGCAGAAGCCCAGTAAGCTCTGCGGTGGCCTTGCTGCCAGCATCGTCAATCGGAAGACCGGTGACCTGCAACTCATTCAGAGAACAACCGAGCTCGTGTGATGCCACGTCGTGCAGGTCGCTGCTAGGCATAGGCAGAAAGTCGTCGATAAAGTTCACCAAGTCAATCCTAAGCGACTCAAGGCCAGGAAGCAGCTTGGGACGGACTAGCGTTTTGTCATGCTTGGGATCGAAGGGAGGACGGAGGGCACGCAGGAAATCCGTCACTTGAGCCCACGTGTAGCAGCGGAAGCCGCCACGGGCATAGGTTCGCTCACTGACGCGAGGAATCGTCCGCAGTGTGATGTCGCTCTTCAGAGACGGGTGGTAGGATCGCTCAAGCTTGTGCTTTCGCTTCTTGTCGTCATAAAACTGGGCGACGATGCGGAAGTTGACATGCTTGATGTCCTTTCGGAATCCAAAGTCCAGCTCGGCAAAGTTTCTGACGGCATGTTCATTCGTGAAAGTGAAAGTGTTGTGGCTCCAGAACATACGGCTGCCTTCGTCGTGCATCGCCTTGCATGTCGCCAAGAAGTGGATGGCGATTTGATTACCGCGGCTTTTCTCCTGTGCTGTGAGGTTGTCCGGCGTGAGTTTCGTCAAGGGGTCGATAATCGTGTCCTTCGAGGTCATCGAGTACTTGAGAATGCGCAGGAGGACCTCTGTTGGAAGGTACGGAAAGGAGCGAGTTCTTGAAGAGGGGTCTTGTTTCCGCCTGGCACCTGCTTGGAGGTTCTGGTAGTTGGCGGATACGGGTGACCAAGAGATGCCGTTTTCTCGGAGCAGTTTTTTCAGCTTCGCATTCTCCTCAGCGAGAGCCTGATTCGATGACCTGAGAGGCTGATTGTAGTAGGCTTCGGCCTGATCCTCGACATCACGGCACTCCCATGGCATGATCTCCTGACTATGGATTAGCGTGCAACAAAAGTAAAGCAGAAAACAGATAGACCAACGAATTCTCGGTTTGCCATGGCGATGGATTGGGCTGCAGAGTCCGGCGAGGTTGCGAATTAGGAGGGTTCCTCGGCCTCGTGGCAGGTATGAATGGGTCTCGGTCTGTCGAGGTGGAATGCGGGCGCGGATGAGGGACTCGAAAATTTGATCCGCCGATTTGGAGTTCGGCAATTTTTTGTTGCTGGACGAGAAGTGGATGGGGGTTGAATTTGCAAGTTCCGGCCAGAGCGTTGTTCAAGGCTCCAAGAGACAACGCCACTGATTAGGTAGGTTGAACCTTGACGTTGGTGACGCAGGGTACAACAGTTGGTCGGAGTGAGTACGGAGAACAGCGAGTGACCTTGCGATGCGACTCGCGACTGGAGAAAGAATCAAAAGTGAAACGAAGGTTTGAAGGGGAAAAAAAAAAGAGATAGATGTGGTGTTCGTCTTGACGTTATGATGGAGTGGAAATAAAAGTCAGCCAAGCCGACAATCGGATGTCGGTCGGGTGAACAAATTGGCGGTAAGATGAGAGAGGAAGAAATTCCTCAGTGGCCGAGTCGTAGGTAACAAGTCGGCAGTGACGGATGACGATGCCCGAATGAGGGAGCCCTGGCCGTGGTCGGTTCGGGCTATCGAGTCGTTGAAGAGGTTAATCACTAGCGTATCCGTAGAAAGGTGACAAGAGCTCGCAGCTGAGTCGGGTCGGAATTGGCTTGTCGGTTTTTCGCGCCGTCTGCTGGCCCGCCTGTTCTATTGTGATTCAGGGTCAGCGAGGGTGAAGGCAGACTGAAGTAAATCAATCTAAGCGGACCTGACGTGGTTCATCAGTGGGGATTGAACTCTGGGCGTAGATGAAGGAAGGAAAAGAAGGGGCGGTGGAGGGTTGATGTTGAAGGGAGCAATCACGAGGGAAAAAAAAAAGGTTCCAGAGATGAGAGATGACGAGGGGTAAATGCGAAGCGACGCCGCTGGGAGAGGTGGCAGATCTGCGCGTAGGCGAGGGAAGGAAAGTGGACGGGACGGGGATGAGGCAGGTGAGGACTGGACGGACCTTCTGGTGGAGTGCGGGTGACGGTGACGGCGGCCAGTGGCAGCAAGAATCGCCGACGTTTGTTTCCTCTTTGGTCCTTATTTCCCTTTCCGCCTGTCTGGCTGTGGTGGATGGTCGTGGTTGCCTACCTTACCTTACTCAGGTGGTAGGTGAGGTCGGTGAGGTAAGGAAGGTGCCTGCTCCCACGTTCGGCAGGCAAGCGACGTTGCGCCGTCTCAGGCTCTTCAGCTTTGACGGTGCCGATGTCCGCCGAAACTCCGACGTGAGCTTCTTTGCTGGAAGGCAGGCAGGCTGTAGACCGCACCTTCTTCTTTCCTAGGTACCTCTGTCTTCAGACCACGAGACTGACTGCCGGTATCAATCTGCAGGCGCTGAGTTCGGGAAAGAATCATTTAATGTGAGATACTTGTCTTAGACTATTAATTCGCCTGGCATCTAGGTAGTCACCTCGCTGCGGAGTAGCGAGCTTGAGGTGGGATGGGGTTGCAATCCTCGCGCCTGCTGTAGGCGAATGTGTTTAACGACGGTAGGAACTGTTGCATTTGACGGGGGAAAGTGCTGAACGGAACGAGAACTGTTGTATCTTTCCTGGACGGGAAGCGCACGCAGCAACTGCCACGACACACGAGACACTGGACGAGGCAATTGGCCGGCTGTATCATGATTTAGTGGGGCATTCTGTGACTGCCCGACGGCGATTACTCGCAGATTGGATGCATTGATTGAAGATTCCCATGGGTAGTTGGATGGACGATATGACGATGCTTTTGGGGGAAGATGAGGGAAGCAACCACAGAAACGAAGCAGTGATGAGCAGGGACGGCAGGGGCAGGGGCAAGAGGTACCTAGCGTAAGGTACCTACCTATACAGGGGTGGGTACGAAGTACTTGAGGTAGCTTCCGAATCTGCTCTGGGCGCTTGGAGTCAATTGCAGCCGTATGGAAACTAAAGGTCAGACGTTCAGCAATCAAAGATGAGAATCGCTTCTTTTCTTTGGTGGAATTGTCTTTGACAAACAGCAGTTGGATATGCTCTACCAACGTGCCAAACCGCCTGGGTATTCAGAAGCACGCCAGGAAGAAAACAAGCGCCTAACATGCGCAAACATGGCTGTCTAGCTCTCCATCTTGACCTAATGTATGTCTTGGATTGATCGATCCCGATCTGGACTTACACCGAAGGGCAGCCGCAGTTCACAGTGCTGCATACGAGGTACCATGCAATGTTCTTTACATAAGGTGGATAGGAAAGTAAACAGAGTGCGCCTACCTGCCTTGACATAAGGTGCATTATGTAAGGCTGGAGAGAGGTGTCAAAGGCAGGAAAGGAGACACGAGGGCAAGTACGGATGCCCCGTTGTAGCTTCCCGATCACGATCGTTGTTTGGTGGCAGCATCGGGCTCGTCAGTCACGGCATTGTGGGAGTTGCCGATAGAGCACCTCAGTCTGATCCTTCAAGTCACGCAAAACTCTTACCCCAGATAATCGGAGCAACCACTAATCGTTTCTCCTCTGTCTCTCCGTGGCTGTCAATGCCTTCAGCCTTTTTGTCTGTGCCTCTCGCATCTGCATCGCGACTGGACTATGGAGAACAAAAATGCCACACAGACCGGCAACAGCTGACGCCGCTGGCACAAGTCGCAATCGAAAGGCTAAATCGAACCTCGGATTGCGCTACCTTGTCTGGGCATTTATTGATTGAAGACCTACGCTCCCCACTGGCAGGCTACCTTCGTAAGTGAAGCTCGACCGAGGAGCTCATGTGTTAAGTAGGAATTCCCATGGTTCATGTGCACTGCACGCAATGCCACACAGCAGCAGATTCGCTCCCATGGAGCACTCCACGCCCAGTGCCGATATCAACATCAACCCAGCTCCGGCCACGCAAACAAGACGATCAATGATGAATTTAACCCCATAAAACGCGTCGTTCATCGAGACTTTCATGGAGCTGCCTACCTACCTACCTTGCTACCTTACCTCATGGAACCCCATTTGCCCGTGGTGCCACTGCGGGCTGGCCCCTTCTATGGTAGGCAGGAACGAACGCCATCTGCCCCTCTGCTCTTGACGTCATGATGTCTCGCCCATTTGCTGCTCTGCAGCTCAAGCTCCCTAACCTCCGCGCGACCGACACTGCGACCCGTGGTCACTCGGCCGTCGCTCAGTCACTAGCTAGCTACCTTACCTTAGGTAATTCCTTTTGAGACCTTTCCCAACGTGCTTTTTCGATGATGAAATCGGTCGTGCCTGGCTGCACGTAGCTACAGCAATGAGGTCAGCTCGCCTGAGGGGCCGCCCTAGGTAGGAGGGGGTTCAAATACTCCCTCTACAAGAACCTCCCTCTTGCAACTCAATGTCTTCTCCTGTACTTTTCTCACGATCCATCATTCGGACTGTTCAGCTCAATCGACGCGTTCAATCCCATTCAAGACTAATCAATCCTCCCAAAACCACAAACAAACTCCCAAGAACCCCTTTTATCATGTCTTTCTCAAACACTTCCACCGGCAGCAAGCCCGCCGATCCCTATAAGGCAGCCAACCAGGACAACGATGTCTCCGTCAAGGATAAGGTCGAGGCCTTTGTCAGCTTCGCCGACAAGACCAAGTTTGCCATGATGACCACCAGAGATGCAAAGTCTGGCGCTCTCGTCTCTCGCGCCATGGCTCTGGCCGCAACGGTTCGTATTCTACCCTGACGCCTCTCACGAGCTCTTTCTTTCTAACATCTACCCAGGAAAACGGCGGAATTGATCTGCTGTTCCACACCAACACCGAGTCCAACAAGACGGATGAGATTGACAGCGATCCCCACATCAACATCTCCTTCATCAACAGCTCAGGTGACTGGGCCTCCGTCTCTGGTGTCTCTAGCGTCATTACCGACCGTTCGCTGGTAAAGAAGCACTACAGCCCTGCACTCAAGGCGTGGGTCGGTGACCTCGGTGACGGCACCCACGACGGCTCTGAGAACGATCCCCGCATCGGTATCATCCGCGTCAAGACCGTCAGCATCACCTATGCCCTCAGCAACGCTACCTTCATCGGCAAGGTCGCCCAGCTGGCCGAGGGTGTTGTGACCGGCAGCCCGGCAAAGGTCAATAAGTTGAGAGAAGTGTCCTCCCAGGAGGTCGAGCAGTACCGCTCAGCTTCCTCTTGAGCTAAGATGCGTAAGAGTTGTAATAATGGCGGCGGCATGTAATAATAGCACAAAGTAGAGGAAGGTTATCGGCGGAATAAGCCGCAAAACCCCGCCCAGTCACGGGATATGAATGACGATTATTGCTTCCCATAGTCCGCAGCCCAGCTCTTGTCAAACGTCTCAGTGTTCACCGCAAACTCGCGAATGTAGTCGCGCTCCAGCTCGTGTGCCCTTCTGCCGAGGAGAACCATGCTGTGAAGCGGATCACCCAGGATCTCATCCGTATCGCACAGCTCCTTCAGCGTGCCAGCAACATACTTCTCAGTCTTGCCTCCCACGCGCGCCGCTCCAATAGCCAGGCTATCAGGCGTATACACGCCCTCCTTCTTATCCTCTTCAATCTCGAGCATCTGCGCAGCGCACTGTCCGACAGTCATGTACCGCGGCGGCTGGTAGACCCTCCGTCCCCTCGCCATATCCTCGAGGCTCTGCTCCTTGACCTTGATGTCGAGCAAGACGAGCGTGTGCAGACCGATATCGCGGTTCTCCTTAATGCGGTCGTAAAAGGAGGCCGGCTTCCAGGTGTCGGTGAAAAAGACCATAGAGACGGTCTGGCCAAAGTTGTAGAGCTGCAAGCCGGTGGCGCCGATGCCGGACATGATGGAGGCGTTGGGAACGGTGGCGACGGGGATGGAGAGCTCGCGGGCGCGGAGGACGAGGTCGGTGTGCGTTGTCGCGCCAAAGGGATCGCCGACGACGCAGAAGGCTACATCTTCGGTCTGGGCGTCGCGGAGGATCTCGTCGCTGTTGGATTCGACCATTTCGCGGTCTGCTACTACGATTTCGCGGCCGTAGTAGGCTTCCTAGATGGTTTGACGCAAGTGTTAGACAAAACCTGTCATCGGGAAAGAGAATAGTTTGAAAAGACCAGGCGCACCAAGACGGCCTTGTCGACGAGAAGGATGCTCGTGTAGGCTTCAAGGTAGACTCGCGAGGCCTTCTTGACGACTTCGAGGCCCTTGACTGTGATGTCGGTCTCGTCGGAGAGACCTAGTCCTACGAGGTACAGCATTCTGGCGGTTGTTCTTCTGCAACTTTCCGAGGGGAGTATTGGCGCGTGCTCGAATATCGGGTCACAGGCAGTCGTTCAATAAGTATGAAAATTCGTCGAAGTTGGGCGTAACTTTTTTCTTCCACACCTTGGAGGGGGAATTGGATGGAGGGGTAGGTATCTTTTTTTTTTTAGCGCTACAACCCCACCATCGCACCCCCTGGACCCTGTCTCGCCTGGCCCCTCCCAATTCTGATCCCCAACCCCTGCAGCCTCACTCAACCCCAGCTCGTCTTCCCAGGCTTTAAATTTCATCATCGAACGCGTCTGGCCAAGCTCTGTAACCATCAACCACGCTATTGCTCGTCGCGAGTCCTGCCCTACAAACGAATCCGACTTCGACTTTTTCGACGTATCTCCCCTCTTCAGATCGCGAAGCTGCCGAAAAGGAGCACCGTCACCAAGTACCTACCTCCACAGAGAACCCAGCCACGAAACCCAAACAATGGCCGACAAGAAAGCAAGCGCCTACGGCGCGCCTGCAGGCGACACCGACTTCCGCAAGACCTACGACCTAGACGAATACGCAGCCAAAGCCAAAGACCGCGAGGCCAAAGAAAAAGAAGAAGCCAAAGCCCGGTACGAGGCTAAGCTCGCGGGCAAGAAATACTACAAGCCCCTGACGGGAGACGAGACCCTCACGCAGGCGCGGCGCAACGTCCTGGACCTCAGCGCGCAGGTCGGCAAGACGCAGCTCGTGCCCGCGGGCGCGGGCGTGGGCAAGAGAGGCCGCGGCGCGGGATTCTACTGCGAGCCGTGTGATCTCACGTTCAAGGATAACAAGCAGTTTGTGGAGCACTTGAACACGCCGCAGCACTTGGCGAACACAGGGCAGAAGACCGAGGTCAAGAGGGCGAGTGCGGAGGAGGTGAGAGAGAGGATCGAGTGGCATTGGCAGAGGAAGCTGGATCTGGAAAAGGAGAAGGCGACGAGTTTGCAGGATAGGCTTGCGTTGCGGGAGGAGGAGAATGCTAAGGAGGCGGAGGAGAGGAGAAAGAAGAGGAAGGAGGCGGATGAGAGGAGGAGGGCCGAGAAAGAGGCAGCGGAGAAGGTGAAGACGGAGTATGGAGATGATGTGAGGATCGAGGGCGAGCACGATGAGGATGATATGATGGCTGCGATGGGGATTACGGGGTTCGGAGGGACGAAGAAGAAATAAGCTGTGCCGCGAGAGGCGGGTGATTCCGAGAGCTGTACGATGATCAGGACGCGAGAAATGATACCCTTGTTTGGCAACACGATGGGAAGAAAGATCCCAAGCTTCGAATAGTCACCATGGACGTGTGAATATGCGAATTGATTCGAAGCAGTGCCTCGGTTCTAGGTACGGTAAGTCTTCACTGTCCCCAACCACGAAACTGACGTTCCTTCACCGAAGTTCTATCGGTCTGTCTCGGTGAGATAGCTGACCGAAGCCCCTCAGATACCGGCACCTCGAACCCCTGCAGCTCGGGTAACCCCACCTTCGCATTGGCTCCGATTTCGACAACCAGCCCGCGGTCGGGTCCGTTTGCCGCCATCAGCAACCTCTCCACGCTGGATATTTCCAGTCCTTTCCCACCTCACTCGAACAAGGCACTGGAGCAAACGACGAAAATTCGAGCCAACAAAGCCGGCATCTGAACGACTGCCTTCTGTTCTCTTCAATTTACGTCAGTCGAAGCCGCATCGAATTATTTAAACGAGCATTACCCCACGCGCCCCTACTGTCGGCTTTCCCTCAATTATTCGTTCGTGACGTCTCCAAGCGCAAACAACTCGAGACTCGGTTTTGGTGTCACCGTCGATCGTTCCTTGCCGCCCGACACATACACACGGACCTATACACAGACAGCTACAACGATACACAGATCAGGACCTTGCGACACCATGGCATCGTCCTCTGCAGCTGCGGCGTCGCTGCTGGGCCGGCAGCTCAAGGAGATGCAAACGGGAAAGGACATCCCCGGTATCTCGTGCGGTCTGGTCAATGACAACAGCATCTTTGAGTGGGAGGTGATGCTCATGATCAGCGACGACTGCAAGTATTATGGAGGTATGTTTTCTCCCTTCCGCCTGCTGCTTGTTCAAAGTAGATTCGGCCCTTCGAGCTTACCAAGCTGGCTATGCCCCCTCCCCCTCCAACCCTCACCTCCTGCTCGCGCGCAATAGGCTGACATACTTCTCTCCCCAAAAACAGGAGGCAACTTCCGCGCCAGACTCACCTTCCCGGCAAACTACCCCCTTATGCCGCCCTCTCTCACCTTCCAGACGCCCATCCCCTTCCACCCAAACATCTACCCGGACGGCCGGCTCTGCATCTCCATCCTCCACCCGCCCGAGGAGGACCAGTACGGCTACGAGGCGGCCTCGGAGCGGTGGAGCCCCGTTCAGAGCCCTGAGACGATTCTGCTGAGCACCATCAGCCTCTTCCACGGACCTAACGACGAGTCGCCCGCCAACGTCGAGGCCGCACGCATGTTTCGCGAGGAGCGCGAGGGCAAGAATAAGGACTTTCGGAGACGGTGTCGGGCTTGTGTTAGAGAGAGCTTGGGGGAGGATTGAGTGGAGTAATCCCGGGAGAATTGCTCCTTCAGACATTGAGATTTGGGTTTGGTGGGAGCCATTGGGATGGCTAGGATGGAGAGTAGATGTGATCCATGTTGCGACCGGCTGGTTGGGTGATTATCACGAGGCATTAACGAGAGAATGGCGAAATCTTGACGAGCGTCCTGCATCATGGAGTTTGGAGATATCTACAGCATTGAAGCAGGCTGGGTTGGCATTCAAATTGACGCCTTTTGAATTCTCAAAGGAGTACTTTGAAGTTTGCATATTCTCTCAGGTTTCTTGGGGGCCTCAGCCAGTCCCTGTGGGTAAATGGAAACGATCATGTTCTATCATCACCACCATCCACCCCCCTGAGTTCTGACCTACACGTAACGTATTTCCCTTCGCTGTCACACCTCTCTCCTGGGTTAGGTCGATGCCTTCTCTCTCTCAGCCTCGAGGCCTTTCATTTCTAATCCTCTCCTTCCAACATCACCTCCCTCTCTACGGAGTATGTTCTCCGTTGCCTCTGGCATCTGTTTTACAGACTACGACAAAACACGGTAATCAACGTCTAAGAAAGAGCGCGCGAATCATTCCCACGCCCGCATGAGCCTTCAGCCTCTCCCGTCTCCAATCCCCAGCATCTTCAACGCTTACCCATTTGTTCGAAAAAGCAAGCTGGCGTTTCCCCGGGACAAGCCATAGTCCACAGCTAAGCCCCTCCCATCGCGTCCGCTAGCAGGACTTACGCAGGGGGCGGTCGTTGAAAAGCCCTCCTTTATGGCAGACGCCACAGTTGCCTACAGGAGATCAGGCATTAAGGTTGGAGAAGGAAGCTCCAAGCTGCGGTTCTGGGGTCGAATTGAAAGTAAGGATTGTGAGTTCAGTACTAGCGCATCTAGTCGGCGTGGCTTCTGGACTTTTTGACCATTGATGATGATTGCGTCTTCTTCCACAGGGTACTTCGAGGCCAGGTTTGTGTTGGAGCGTGTAACCCCGTGTCCACGGTCTCGGTAGTGCCCCGAGTTCAAGTGACAAGTTCGATTTTGCCACGACGCCAACGACGAGAAAGACACGAATCGGACACGTACTGGAAAGACTAATACCTAGTAGCAACGAGAACGGCGAAAGACAGCTGGCTCGACTTTAAGCCTCATTTTTGAAAAAGTTCTAGCCGCTAGTCATTGGTTCTGAATTCGGCGGCGCCGACATACCAAGCAGGCAGGAAACTTCCGCGGCTGAACATCCATGTCTCACACAAACACAAAGTAGTCAAAGCCGGCAGAGAAAGTAACTAAACTGCGCCAGAGCCGTTCTTGTCCATGCCGTGTTTTCCTGCTCCGCACTCTGCCCTGCCACCAGCCTACACCCCTTGGCCATTCAAGCTAATAGGCAACTAGTCGCTCGTAGGTTGTCGAATATCACGAGATTGTCCTCGCATCAACATACCTGTCACCCCACATAGTGGCTCAATTATTGGCCAGCATTGGCCAGCACCGTTGGGCGTGACCTTTTGTTTAAACGTTTAGCCCCTTTAAGCTAGAACGACTTTTATCTCAGAGTTCATTGCAAGGGGACCAGGCCTAGCCAAGTCCACGCTCACGCCATCCCACTGACTGCTAAGAAGCCAAGAATCTCAGTGGTCATGATGAGGGTTCTTCTCCGTGTCCACACCGAACTAAACTCGGTGTGCCATGACGGAAGCGAGTTAGAACGGCCCGTTAGTCAAATCGGTCAAATGGAACAAGTCCAGTCGTAAGATCAACCCCCATGCGTTTTGATAACCAGTCACGACACGTCATTGTTGGAGCCGCAATGTTGGGTGCTACCGAACCAGTCCTCGTCTTACGAACCAGCCCTATGTGACTGCACGGCATTCTTAGTCTTGAGATAGAGTTTGCGCCAGAACAAGACGCCTTCCCCCCGTTAAACTGCCGTGTCTGTGATGATCTAAGCGTTAAGCTTATTACTAAGTCAAATTTGGGTTGACTTCCAAGAGCATGAGGTGGGTCTAGGTCGTACGGCCTACTTGCTTCGTGACATCGACATGCTCTGGAGACGGTTACAAGCCCCAGGCAACCACATTGGAACGTTGGTAGTAGAGGTGGACTAGTCAAGTACCATTAACGCGGAAGGGCCCGTCTGTATGGGGGCTTGGGGTAACAATCGAGGCGGTAAACCTATCACCTGTCAAGTTAGATCTGACTCCTATCAACGTTAACTATCGAATCATCTACTAGACCTACTCCTTGGCGATCATTTTGATACCTACCTGCTGAACTCTTCCAGACGATCATGCCAATGTCTGGCTGTCTGCGCCATCAAGGAAGAGATGCTGGAGGCTTGTTGCCCTGTATGGAGGATACAAGCCAACCCATACTCAATGAGTTGGCGTTACATGTAGGCAATCAGATGTAACCGTCGGACTC